CCCAGCCCAGGAACCAGGTGAACCCGGGAACCAGGGGAGCCGCTGCCGGCAGCCCCAGGTGGCGAGCGGCGAGGGCGCGGCGGGCCCCGGCTCCGGCGTCGGATGCGAGGGACCAGCCCCTCGTTACCCTTGGGAGTCCCCAGGCGGAGGCTGCGGCCGTCACCGCAGGGCCAGGATCGTTGTAGGCGCTCAGTATGTGTTTGTGGAATGAATGAATGACGGTCGTCCCTGGGAGCTTCCCTCTCAGAGGTGTGGTCTCTACTTTTGAAATGCCGCGTGGAATGGCAATGACAAGAGATTGTGTGTACGTTTGGCAAGCTGAATCCTTCCACACTGTTCCTGTGGGTTGTTGGGAGCCCAGAGCTGGTCTGCTGCCCAAGCCTCACCTGACCACCCCATCCATCTCCTCCTGAGGCCCGACTGCCCAGACGCGCCTCTTCTTTTCAGACGTCACTGCTTTTGTTCTTTCAGTTCCTTCTGACTGAGCCTCTACTCCCACCTCTCTTGGCCCCTTTCTTTTCCTATCAAGTCCTGTTTATTTATCCATGTCCCCCGTGAAGCCGCCTTCAACATCCCCACCCCAATAATGAGTTTCTCTCCAAGATAGCTCACTGGTAATACTCTTACCAGGTCGCATTAAAGATAGTTGTCTGTGTGTCTCCTTGAGGGCTGTCCTCTGATTATTCATCCCCAGCCACTAGACAGAGTGACTGAAAGTTACTGAAAGCAATGCGCGTTTGCAGTGCCTTTTCTTTTTCCACATACATTCACCACAAAAACATAGGTAGTAAGGGGCAAAGGGTTGTTGCTTCTGATGGAATTAAAAATATTTATTTTGAAATTTTGGAAGTGGATTTTACCTTCCCATGATTATCATGATTATAGAGAACATATGAAAGACCTATGAGGGGAAAGTCTTGAAACTAAGGTTCAGGATTTCACATCTATTGGGTTAATAGTCATACAATTGGGTTGTATTTAAATTTTTTATTCTATGCTTTTTAAATACTTTCAAAACATGATGTAAATGAATCAGTGGATGACTGGATAAATAGGGGTAGTATGGGGGATGAAGGAGCTGGGTCAAAAGTGCCCATATTAACAGTGCCCCCTAAGTTAGCTCTGAAAGACTGACTCAACAAAGATAATTGGCTACATTTACAGTGGTCCAAATGCTTCACTGTGTATCAGAATCACCTGGAGGGCTTCTTAAACCAGACTACTGGCCCATCCTCAGAGTTTCTGATTAATTATGTCTTATTAATGGGGCATGAGTATTTGCATTTCTAACAAATTCCTTCATTATGCTGATGCTGTTTGTACGAGGACCAGATGTGGGCTCCAGAGATTAATTTTTATTAGTAAGTAGTGAATCCGGATGCCCCAAATTATATCACACTTGTAGAGTAAGAAAATGAAACCTTAAGTTTTTCAGGCCATGGCCCACCCACCTAAATATTTTGTCTCATGGCAAGAAACATCAGGGAATTTGTAGGAGCTAGTAACAGATTCCCGCTTGGGTTGTGTGTCAGCTGAAAGGTCATTATCCCATCAGTGTAGTTTGGATTACTTTTTTGGAAAATGCACCATCTTCTCCACATTAAAGTACATCTACCGTAGCTTGTCAGTAGCAGCTTCTGATCATCATACCTTATAGGAAAGTGTCCTGCTAGTGCATGAAAACGAATGACTGGGGTTTCTGAGAAGTCAAGAAAGACATAATGGAGCTAGAGAAATTCCAGAGATGACTACTAAAAACAAACCAAAACAATAATGAAATCATGTTTTCCCTTGCTGCCTTTAGCCAGTCATATGATGAACTCTTTGAAGGCAGCTTTCCACCTGCCCCTCCTAGCCATCCTCACTGTGGTACCATGAGTTATGACTTGATTGCCTCTACCCTAGACAACCATAATAGCAATGGGCTCCAGTTGATCCTTTTGCCTCAGTCTCTCCCATCTCCAGCACTGTCCAATAGTACTTTCTGTGACAATGCCAGTGTTTTATACCTGCCCTGCCCAGTATGGTAGCCCCTGCCGTGGCTGTTGAGCACTTGAAATCTAGCTAATGTGACCAAGGAACTGAATTTTTCATTTTATTTTAATTTAGTTAAATTTAAATAGCCACCGGTAGCCAATGGCTACTATACTGGACAGCACAGCTCAAGACCATACCACTGACATGTATTATCTTGCCAAAGCACATCTCTATGCATATTACTACTCCTCGAACATTTTAAATAGTTTAAAAAAATCCATGTTCAACCCAACATTCAAGACCCTCCGGGAGTAGGCTTCAACCTACTTTTTGGGCTTGAGACAGGCTTTAATCAGACCTATTAATTACTTGCCTTATATTATCTCTGTAATGTTATCCTGTTCTCTTCCTGAATATCTTTTATTTAAACCTTTTAACTCCTTAAAAAATTTTAATTATTTATTTCATTAGTTTTTTTTAGGGGGAGGTAATTAGGTTATTTAACATTTTTTTATAGAGGTACTGGGGATTGAACCCAGGACCTCATGTATGTTAAGCATGCAGTCTACCACTGAGCTATACTCTTCCCCCTAATATTGAATATCTTTTTCTCCTCCCTGCCCCTAGTTTAGCCAGAGCAGAGTTCAGATTATATCTCTCCCAGGAGGCCAACCTCATCCCTCTAGGTTGGGACTATTATTCCCATTCTATAGGAGATCCCATGGCATTAGGATGTGGCATCTATTTTGGAATCAGAAAGACCAGGTTCAGATTCTGGCTCTGCCTTTTATTGTATGACTCTGAGGAACTCAATGCACCAGTAAAATGAGTATAATCATTATTGGGAAAATAATACCTATCTCTTGAGATGATGTGTGTGAAGAAGCTGGCATATGGCAGGCCAGCAATACATGTTAATTCCTGTCTTTCCCACCTCTAAACTCTTACAGCACCATATTTTGGTATTTTTATTCTACTAAATTGTAGAGTCTTTGTTCTTTTGTATCCTCAGAGCATCTAGAATTCAGCAAAAGTTTGTGGAACACTAAATTAATTGACCACAGATGAAATAGCATTCTTCAGTCAGAAGTGAATGAAGGCCAAGAGTGCATATGGTAGAAATTTGTAAAATTGTGAAAATAAAAGCAGACAGACTTACCGAATTCTAGTCTAAGAGATGGTGGCCACCTCTTGAAATTTAAATGATGCAGACTGAAGATAATAAAATGAAATGCTTCTTTTGAAAAGCAAACAGATGAGATACAATACCTCCAAAGGATGTGACAACAGGACATATAAAATGCTTTATCTTTGAAAAAGAGTTAGAGAAATTCTTGGAGCAAAAACTATAATTTGTGATGGAAGGAAATGAGGATATTTTGTGTCCTCAACAACAAGGCTCTTGGGACAGAGGTCACACACAAGTGGTTCACAAGTTGCATCTGGCCTGCAGAGATGTTTTGTTAGATGTGTACTGTGTTTTTAAAAATATGTAATGTAACTGACAACATTTAAAAGTCAGAAGATTGCACATAAAAATCTAGAATTTTGGCTTCTCTTGGAAAAGATCAGATCTGGCCACGCTGGGCCCTGCAAGACCCATGGCAATAATTGCTGCAGCTGAGCAGCTGCAGCTGCCTTTCCCAGTCCCGCTGTTCCCACCATGCCTTGATGTTCATAGGTTGCCTGCTTCATGCCATCCCTCCTTTAGTGCCACTTTCAGAAACAGAATGCTGGATTCTAGACCCCAGATCTAACCCAGGATGGCATCTTTTATAATTGGAATATAATTAGCAGGTTAATTAGGCTCTTTTAGTTGCCAGAAACAGATATACTCTAGTAATGGAAGTTTATTGTAAGATTACAGAGGAAAAGTAAGGCAGTCTGGATCAGTATTCCTATGAGTTGGGGAAAGAAAGCAAAAAATATTACTTATGTTTTAGTGTACAGTTCTACCTGTGGGTTTTTTTTTCTGTAAAAGACACAAAGTACTATTTCTCTTCAGTAATACATTGCAAAATACCTCTTCCATCCTGTTCTATATTCCCCAACTACATTCTCACTTCTTTATTGAATTTGTGATCATTAGTTCTTAAGTGTTATATAGCACATTTCTGCTACCCAATGCTTTGAGGATAAAAATACATTATATAACAATGGCCCAGTTACCTAACTTTTCTGAAGCCTCAGTCATATCGCCTGATGGGATAATAGTGGTACTATAATTGCTGTCGGAATTAAATGAAATAACTCATGAAAAATACCCAGTGCAATGCTTAATATACAGTAAGTGCTCTATAAATGTTAGTGGTGAAATAATGCTTGCTGCTTCTGATACATTATAATTCTGAAGGAAAACAATGTTGCTGATACATTTAACTTGTTTGCAACGTCACCTATTTGTGAAAGAACTATTTGTGTCATCTACAGAATTTGAATGTTTACCTGTATATGTACTGCATATACTTTTTCACATTTATGTGGAAGAATATTAGCGTTCATGCCTTTTTATTATCCAAAAACACAGATGACCAAGAGTGGTTATACTTTCTCCAGAGATGGCTAAATCTCCATTCTCATTAACTCCTCCTTCTCAGTCTCTTTAAGAGCAGGATGATGCTACAGATTTTTAAAGCTTAATGTGACCCTTAGAGGTAATATGGTCAAACCATGTCATTTTATGGACAAGGAAAGTGAAACTCAGTTCCTAAGAAATTTGCCCCCAGTCATACAGCTAGTTAGAGAAATAGCCAGAGCTGGAGCCACAGTCTCCTGATATCCTGTACAGTGCTTTTTCTGCTGCATCATGATGCCACTAACTAGATACCTGACCATCATTTAAGAGATACTGAAGGCCTGCTAAGTGTCAGGCATTATTTTGGGTGGTGAGGACATAGCTGTGAACAAAGTCTTTCCTTCTGGACTTAAATTTTAGTGTGTGAAACAGACAATGAACAAATAGACAAATACTGGCAAGTGCTATAAAGAAAAGGAAAGGGTAAAATGATAATGATGGAAGCTATTTTAGATAGAGAAGTTAGAAGACGCTGTGTTGACCCCTTAACCCTTAGCATTTTCAGTGAAAATTGGTAGTTACACTTTTACCCCTTAATCCTTCCCTGCAACATAGCAACATAATTGAGTATAAAGAAAACTAGGCTTCCTAGCCAGACGCTTGGGTTCTAGTCCCAACTCTAATGATTCAACAGCCAAGGCTTTTTAAACTTGTGGGCTTTAGTTTCTCCACTTGTAAAATGAGAATAATGTACACTTTGCTTTCTTTTATAAGGTTGTTTCAAGTGTAAAATTACACAATAAATGAGAAAGCTTTATAAAACTGCAATGTGTTATGCAAATGTAAGATACCATTATATGGAAATTTTATTTCCATAAAAATGTGCCAAGGATCTAGATTTTATTTAAATTCTTTCTACTCATCCAGGAATGATGCAACCAGAGAGAAGCTTCCAGGGTTTTGGCTCTAGATTTAGGCAGAATTCTTTCCCATATGATGTGAAGCGAGATGTGTACAATGAGGAGAACTTCCAACAGGAGCACAGAAGGAAGACTGCTTCCTCTGGAAACGTGGACATTGACATCACCACCTTCAGTCACCATGTCCAGTGCAGGTGCGTATGTGCCATCATTCAGCTGTCGCCAGGCTGGCAGCCCCCAAACTCTACTTGATGCTTTTAGTGCCTACTCCTGTCTTCCTCTTTTGAATTCCTGTCATCAGAACCCTTAGCTTATTGTGTAATTTCCCTTCAGATTTTTTTTTTGTGTGTGTGGTTTGTCTTGCAGCATCTTCTTGATTGTAAACTTCTTGGGCATAAAGACCTTAGATGTTCCCCCACAGCAATGATAATTAGTTAATACATTGTTTGATTAACCAACATTATGGTCTTCTAACGACACCAACAAAAAGCAACCGTGGTGGACTATTTAAAGATAGCAGGATGACCATGCAGGTCCTGCAGTACAGGGGCTCTAACTTGATTTTGTGCTGTGAACCTTTTAGCAGTCTGATAAAGCTTCTGAACCTCTTTTCAGAACTTTTTTTATTGTGGTAAATATATGTAACATAAAATCAGCCATTTTAACCATTTTTAGAGTGTACAAATCAGTAGCATTAATGACATTTATGATATTGTGCAACCATTACCACTATCTGTTTCTAAAACGTTTTCATCACCCCAAACAGTAACTCTGTACCCATTAAGCAATAATGCCCCATTTCCCCCTCTCCCAGCCCCTGGTTACCTCTCTTCTACTTCTATCTCTATGAATTGCCTATTCTAGAGATTTCATATAAGTGGAATCATACAATATTTGTCTTTTATGTCCGGCTTATTTTACTTCGCATAATGTTTTCAAAGTTCACCCATGTTGTAGCATGGGTCAGTACTTCATTTCATTTTATGGCTGATGATACTCCATTGTATGGATATACCATGTTTTGTTGTCTGTTCATCTCTTGATGGACACGGGTTGTTTCCATTTTTTGGCTGTTGTAAATAATACTGCCATGAATTTTGGCAAAGGAGTATCTGAGTTCTTTTAGGTATACACCTGAGAGTGGAATTGTTGGATCATACTGTAATTCTGTATTTAACTTTTTGAGCAACTGCCAAAATTTTCATAGAAGTTGCACCTTTGTGCATTCACATCAGCAGTGTACAAGTGTTCCAGTTTCCATATCCTCTCCAACATTTGTCATTACCCATTTTTTTGATTATAGCCATACTATTAGGTGTAAAATGGTGTCACATTGTAGGTTGATTTTTGTTCTTTTTTTTTTTGTATTTCCCTAATAACTAAATTTTTTTGATTTGTTTTGAACATTTATCTTCTTATTGCAGCATTTTTTTGTTTTACAGGCCAGGCACTGTACTTAACCACTCTTTTTTTTCCCCTGCTCTCAATTGTCTGTTTTAGTGTGAACACTTCATTGATGACAATGTTCTCTAAACACGTACTTGTATTAGTGATGATGAGCATCTTTTCATGTGCTTATTGGTCACTTGTATATCTTTTTTGGAGAGATATCTACTTCCTTTGCCCTTTTAAAAACTAGGTTGTTTGGCTTTTTGTTGTTGAGTTATAGGAGTTCTTTATAAATTCTGGATATTAAGCCCTTATGAAGTATATTATGTGCAAATATTTTCTCTCATTCTGTCTTTTCACCCTGTTGATAGTGTCCTTGGTGCACAACAGTTTTCTTTTGTCACTTGTCATTCTGGTATCATATTTAAGAAACTATTGTGAAATGTAAGATCATGAAGATTTCCCCCTATGTTTTCTTCTAAGAGTTTTATAGTTTTAGCTTTTAAATTTAGCTCCTCGATCCATTCTGAGTTAATTTTGTACATGGTGTAAAGTAAGAGTCCAACTTCATTTTTTTCCATGTGGATATCCCATTTTCTCAGCACTATATGTTGAAGAGTCTGTTCTTTCCCCATTGAATAGTCTTTGCCAGAATACTTTTAAATGCATAAAATACATAGTATTATAAAGGAAATTAGTTATATTGGAATATAGTTATCAAAATATGAAAAAATCCCCAAATTATGATTCTTTTTGAGTATCTAGAAATTGATTGCTTTTATTTTTTTAACATTTTTATTGATTTATAATCATTTTACAATGTTGTGTCAAATTCCAGTGTTCAGCACAATTTTTCAGTCATTCATGGACATATACACACTCACTGTCACATTTTTTTTCTTTGTGAGCTACCATAAGATTATGTGTATACTTCCCTGTGCTATACAGTATAATCTTGTCTATCTATTCTACAATTTTGAAATCCTAGTCTATCCCTTCCAAAATTATGATATTTAATAATTGTAGGTCTAATAACTACCATAATTTGTAAGTACTGATGAATATAAGTGCTATTTTAAGATATCTGCAGCAGTTTTAATATAATGTGAAAATATTTATGATTTCTGTTGGTGACAAAGTCAAGCTCTGCTGATACTATCGTGGTTATCAATGTTCATGACAGAAGGAAATGCTAAATTTCAGTTAGGAGGTTAATGAAATAAAGATATAATTTCCCTTAAGTTTATATACGCCCATGAATTCTACCTATAGACCCCTGGGTCATCCATAGACTTCAGGATAAAAACCCTTTGTGACCTATATCATGATAGTAACCCTAATGACTCAAATTATCCTCACTTATGATCTGGATTTATTAGTCCCTGTCATCCTTTGACTTTATCACCCACAGTTGGCATGTGTTGGGTGACAAGTGAAGAAGGCCTCCTCATGGCCCTGTTGCAGGCCTTCCTCCCTCTGAGCCATCTCCTTTGTCCATATCCTGCCTTTTGTAAGCTGTGGTCTTGGATGTCCCTCCCCAGTCCTATATTACTACTCTCATTTTTTCTGCTCCAGGATGGGTCAGAGGTCATATGTCAAAGAGGGCATTTGGGGGCCACTTTGGCTTTGTCTCTACAAAAGGATAATCTTTTCCTGGCTTATACCTCATCCTAAACAGGTACCACCAAAGAAATTTCAACTTACCTCCCCTCCACCTGCCCCACCCTTAGACACAAATCTGACCTCTGCTGCCTCCCATAGGCTTTTACAGCAGTTCTTATTACCTGCTTCCAAAACATACAGTTACATCCATTTCTGAATTTTGCCCTGAAAGGTAGCACAGCACTGTGGTTAAGAGTGAGACTCAGAAGCCAGATTGCCTGGTTTCAAATCCCAATTCTGCTGCTTCCCAACTGTGTGACCCTAGGTAAGCTATCCCAACCTACTGTGCCTCAGTTTCCTCATCTATAAAATGGGGATGATAATAGCACCTACCTCTTAAAGTGGCTGTGAGAATTTAAAGAGCATTTGTAAAGCACCTAGCAAATAGAAAGCACTCTATAAGTGGGATTATTTTAGTAAAAAAAAAATCATAATCTTTTAACTCCATCTCTTTCTTTCTGCAGAAAACCTCATCTCTTTCCTCATTTTCTCCCTTTTAGTTAGCAACTGCAAATACTCCCTTTCTTTTAAAAAAATCTCTCCTGTGCTTTCACACCAACTCTTACGTTCCTCACTTTTAAGACGTCTTAACCTAAAATCCAGATTCATGGTGAAGTGCCTATACTCTTCCCCTACCAGCTTCAATTTCTATCCCTCTAACTCCTTCCTTGATTCCCATCAGTCTTAAATCCTCATTATTCCATAACCATTTTATTTATTTATTTATTTTTTGCCATGCTAAAGAGCTTTGATGACTCTCCTTAGGGTGGATTGTCATCCACCAGATGGAAAGGAGGGGACCCTGGACTGGATGCAGGAACAAATTGTCCCGATGCCATGCTCACCCCTCCCCCATAGAGAACCATAATTGGAGAGAACACATTCTCTACACCTGCCTTACACCCAGGAACTCTCATAAAAATAGCCGTGTGGTGCTATTTCCAAACCTATGGTCTTGCTCCTGGCCCCTGAGCAGCATTTGACAGCTGCCAATAGGAACTGTGGCAGTAATAGAGTGGATAGAACACTGAACTAAACATCAGGAGATCTGGTTTCTAGCCCCAGCTCTGCCCACTCTTACTACTCTGACCTTGACAAAGACATTTACACTTATCTGGCCTTAGTTACCTTAGGGAGAGTAATGTTCATAGCTGTGAGAGTCAAACATGTTGAAATTACTTCTTTTCTGAGTATACATTTTAGCCTTGCATACCCTGAAGTTATATTTGTTGCTATAGTCAAATCCCAATTATTCAGCTACAGCTCATACATGAAAAATCTCCATACTCTTTGCTTTCAGCCCATACTAAGATGTAAATAGCAAAGAGCAATTTAAAACCAAATTAATTTTATTGATTGATTAATTAACCGATTGATTGGTTTACAATGATTCTGCTCTTTTAGATGATCTAAAGTTTAGGTTTTCTCAATCTCAGTACTGTTGACAGTTTAGACCATAAAATCATTTTTTTGTGGAGGGCTGTCCTGTGCATTGTAGGATGTTCAGTGGCATCCCTGGCCTCTATCCACCAGATGCTAGTCATGATAATCAAAAATGTCTCCAGATATTGCCAAATGTCTCTTGGGGAACACAATTGCTTCTGGTTGTTATATGCTGCATAAAAGGATAATGAAAGCCTTATTTTTTTTAATCTTATTGCCTTTTTTTTAAACTTGGCTAACTCCTTAAGCACAGGACCCATAGTCTATATTTTCTATAAATTTCTTCTTGCTATAGGTCAAAGCCACATAGAGTTAATAATACTCAGTAAAAATTTTAGTATACAGGAATGATGTGAATGTGTTAACTCCCTGCCACCCACCAGTATCACATCTCAAAAAACTGTTCTTACCAAAAGAAGGTAACAACAGTCCATTTTTCTACTGGAAAATTTTGGCAGGTTGAATTCTTTTCAAATTTCTGTTAAAACACAGACCTGATTTGTATGCTGACTTACAAGACTTACTTCTTGTCCTATATATGGCACTGGTTCTCAACTGGAGGCAATGTTGTCCCCCAGGAAATATTTGGCAATGTCTGGAGACATTTTGGCTGTCACAACTTGGTAAGGACATCTGCTTACTACTGGCATCTATTGGGTAGAGATCAGAGATGCTTCTAAACATCCTACAATGCAGAGGGGAGCCCCACAACAAAGTGTCCAATGTGTCAAAATGTCAATAGTGCTGACAAGAAACTCTGCTGTATGGGAAGAAGGATGTGCTATGCCTTTTCTTGACTACATGTTTGTGGGTTGTGTTTTTGTTTTTGGAGAACCTAATCAGGTCTCTTCCTCTTTCTCACAGCTGCTCATGGCACAAGTTCCGAAGATGCATGCTTACGGTTTTTCCCTTCCTAGAGTGGATGTGTTTTTATCGTTTCAAGGACTGGCTTCTTGGAGACTTACTTGCTGGTATAAGTGTTGGCCTTGTGCAACTTCCCCAAGGTAAGGAAGATATTCACCCACAGACAATACATCATGCCTGGTCCACTTGTCTAGAGTAAACAATTGCTTGTACTAGATGAATAGAAAAAAGTGTGAATTCTATTTATATCACTACCATTTGTTTCCTTACCTGCCAAATTTCTAACTCTTGCTTGAGTGTCCTCACAATACGGCAACTGGCAGGACCAACTATATGTGTGGGACCCGGTGCAAAATGAAAATGCAGAGTCCCTAGTTCAAGAACTATCCAGAATTTCAAAATAGTCAGAGTGGAGCATTAAGCCAAGTACGGAGCCTTCTAAGCCCAGGGCTCTGCGTGAGTGCTGAGGTCACACGTCCCTGAAGCTAACTCTGATAGCTGGTGACCTGAATGAAAGAGACAGAGAGCCAGAGAGCAACCAAGGCAGAAGCCACAGTCTTCTGGCAACCTAACCTCAAAAGTGACATCTTAGCCTTTTTGTTGTAGTCTGTTTATTAGAAGTAAGCTACCAGGTCCATCCCACACTTAAGGTTAGGGCTCAGGCAAGGGCATGAATAGTAATTAGCCATTGCAGATCATCTTAGAGGCCCTCCAGCACTACAACCATTTATGAGAAATCAGGGAAACTTGAACATTGACTGGATATTTGATGATGTTAAAGAACCATTATTAATTTCTTAGGTGCGATAATGGTATTGTAGTTAAAAGAGGGTCTTAAAGATATACACTGAAATATCTACAGATGAAATGATTTAACAATTTGGATTTGCTTCAAGACTGGAGACTGGAGATGATTGGCAAGAGAGACCACATGTACCAATTTGGAGTCAAGTCAGTTGAGTGTGATTCTTACCTTGCTCTGCAGCTTTATCTCCAGTCCTGGAGGATTCCTAGGGCCTTCTTGTGCTAGACTGAGGGCAGAAGTGCGGCTGCTTCTGAGCTGTTGGAATTAAAGCTTTTACTGCTGTGATGTTTGCTTTCGCTCACAGAGAAAGATGTTTGAGCCTTTGGTTTAGAATTGAAGTATAAAAACATGTGGTGAAATAGGAAGAGAAGCTGGAAATCAAAGGAGAGAGTAAAAAGTACGAATTAAGGGCTGTACACCTAGGGATACTGTTACCATATTCAGTCAGCTGTGTACATGGATCATTTTTACTTTAGTCTTTACAGTTTTTAATTTAAAGTGTCTTTTGAAAGCCAGGCCACTTTTGCTTACTTTAATTATCTTACTTTTCAGACCTGATGCTTAGTTTGCTGGCAAGGCAACTGATTCCTCCTCTCAATGTTTCTTATGCAGCTTTCTGTTCTTCAGTAATTTATGCAGTTTTTGGATCATGTCATCAAATGTCCATTGGTGAGTTCAGTGCTAGAACCACAGGAGGTGGATGAGGTCTCCATTCCAATCATTTACTTATTACAGGAACCCAAGTTAAAGCTATGTTTAAGGCAGAAAGAAACGAGGCAAAAGAATCATATTCTATCTGTAGGGTTGGTGTTCAGATTTTAGAAATTGAACACTTCTTGTGTGTCATTATTAATGTCACCGCCAGGCAAATAGGTCACCAAGCTGTTGCCCAAAGGAATTAAAGGACAAGAGAAATTACCACACATTAGAATCTGATGATCCTCAACCCGGAAAATCCAGAAATGATTTTGCCCAAACTCCCAGAATGGATGCACCTTTCAGCTGGACCCATAATAACAAAACTCCATGGGCATGATTTATAATAATCATGTCAGCTTATTAGTTTGCAATGAGAAAATGCTGTCATAGTCATCAGAGTGCTCAAATCCACAGGATAAGCACTTTCCTTCCCTGAGTCAAAAGTCCATCTACTAATTCATAAATAGAAATGACTGTTAGAGGGACCAGACGAGCTGAAGTTCGTGTTGTCAGCACAATTACTTCACCTAGGTGAACCCATATAGAGATCAAATCACAAAATGCCCTGACAGCCTTAAACGAGCATCACCAACACTTATGCAGTCAAGTGCCTTTTCCTGAGCTTCCCCACTGAACAACAGACCAAGCAACCAACATAGACCATTCTGACTGGCACATGCTTCCTCCAGAAATGTTTGCATGTTCAGTCCGGTTGCCATCCCATTCTGCTAGACATGGAGGGCCCCTGTGCCTTTTTAAAAGGCAATATTGCATATCTTTACTAAAATCTATTATACATTGATTCTACATTTGAACACCGAGAGAACTATTTTATTCCCATATTTCCAAGTTCCTGAAGCACATTCCAGTCATTTCCAAATACGGATAACAAGGGCTAGTAGAGTTTTGTTTGTCAGGTAATTTAAAGGTCAGATTTGCCTTTGCTCTTGTGTATGAGTATTCCGACATGAGGATGAAATTAAATTATGTTTGAAACCAGTTTAGCTCAGTGTCACTTTGCACCTAGTAAATCTTTTATAGGTGTTGGGTATTATTTTTCTTCTTATTATTGATCAGCTTTGTTTTCTGATCCTTTCACCAGCACTTCATTTTTCACTGTTCTAAGAGCAGGCACAGTGGCTGAGCTTGATATACATTTCCAGTCAATTTCTCTTCACTCCTACTCTATAAGCCCAGGATGCAGACAGGTTAATACCTGGACCCCCACGACTAAATTTTGCAAACTGTTTACAGTATGTGGAGCCAGAGTTCTTTCCTCTGCTCTTTCTTACTTCTTAGTGGCCACTTTGAGATGAGAAAAGTTTAGACCATGCCTTGCTTTTGTCAGGAACTGTCGGTTTACCTGGACTTAAAACCTTATCTTCTGCCTACACGTTTTCTTTGACAGGTTCCTTCTTCCTTGTGAGTGCTCTGATGATCAATGTCCTCAGGATATACCCATTCAACAGTGGCCGCCTAGTGCTGGGAACTTTCATCAGGGACGATTTTTCTAACTTATCCTTCTTTGAGGGCTATAACAAGTCCTTGAGTGTGGTGGCGTCTACGACTTTGCTGACTGGGATTATTCAGGTAGGACCTGAGTCTCTGAAGAAATAACAAATAAACCAAGGGGCTACAAGTGGAACCTTTCCTTTAATTGCTCCTGTTATCCGTTGTGATATATCTGGAACTCTAGTGATTTATTTTTTGAAAACTTATGGGATGTGTGGATAGGCCACCTTCTCAGTGACAAAACTTCTGTCTCTTCAGAAATCCACCACCACTGTTTTAGGATGAGATACTGAACATTTTCATCAGTCCCTTCTGCTTGAAGACTAAAGAATGGTCCCAGAAACTATGGCCTAGACTTATACTCATGATTTCACATTTTTTTAAAATTTTCTTTGTGTTCTTTTAAAAAGAACAGCACTCATGGACTCACATACTGTATTTCTGGTTAGTGATCATTAGAGTCAGACCTGGGATCCTTTTTCTGCAATGACAGGACCACAGCTAAAGGTAATATCAATGACTTGTTAATAATATCAAAACTTATTTTGGGCAGTGTCTTTCATTTCCTCTGAGAGTCTACCAGCTAAAGCTTCAACCACTGAACCAAAGTCACATATTTTAGGTCTATTTCTCTTTCTTCTCAACTAACCCACTCTCTAGCTAATTTTCACTGATCTCCCCTGGGACCATTTTTCATTAGGTAAGGATTTATTGGGAGCCCACAAAGGCAGGCTTTCACGGTAAGCTGACCCCAGCCCTGACAGTTACCAGCTGTATGAACTTCCTTAAATTATCTTAACTTTGTGGGCTTCGGTTTCCTCATATTTAAATGTGAATAATAATATTTGGTTTGCAGAGTTCTTGTGAGGATTAGTGAGAAAATGCACATAAAACATTCAGCCTAGAGCCTGTCACATAGTAGGCATTAGTAAGTTATAATTACTGGGTACAGAGAAATGAAATTAGTATTTTAACAGAGACCAAAATTTTGAAAAAATATAATACCCATGGTTAAAAAATTCAATCTTGTAGGAGAAGACAAAATAACAGGCAATAAGTCAGCAACCTGTTAATCATCTAAGTGGCCTTGGCATGTTCTTTCCCCTCTCTTGGGTCTCCCTCTCTTTTTTTTTCCACATAATAAAGGAGGAAACATTCCATTTCCAGGAAGGTGGAATAGATGTACTTTTCCCTATTTCTCTTGCTAAGTGCAGCTGAAAACCTTGGAACGGTATATATAAAACAAACATAAAAAGACTCTGAAAGGTGGAGAGAAGACAAACAGGCTTAGGATCCAAGGAACAACACAGTGGTGAGTTCCTTGGGTTTTCTTTTTGCCTTGTTTATCTCCAACTTGGTGTTGGAGAAGCCAGAAACCCAAAATGCCAACAGGTACAGGCTAAAAAAGAGGCCTAACAAAAGTCTGCTCTTCAGAGCCCCAAGACAAGGAAAGGCTAGCAAGACTGAACACTTTTACCTGGTAACTTCTCTATTCCAGGCAACACCAGGAAAAACAAACCAAGGCTGTGGTGTCACCCCTACTATGCCAGCAAAGGCCAAGTGGGGAGCCCAGACTTCTAGCCTCACCCACTTGTAAGGAGGTACCCACCCACCCCGACCTGGGGTGTTATGAGAGAAGGCCAAGTAGGGAGTCAGGACTTTTCATCTGCACTGGGCAATAATGAGATGCCCATCCTACTCCTTGCTGGGGTGGTGTCCGAGAAAGCCTAGTGAAAAGCCAGGTCTTTCACCACAACGTGGCAGTGGTGATGACAACCCCCTCTGTGACAATGTCAGTGGAGGCCATATGGGGAGAAATAAAGGCATTCTTGTCTCTTTCAGCCAGGGTGGTCTCAGTGGAGGCCTAGCGGGAAGTTAGAACTTCCATCCCTCCCCAGCTATAATGAAGAGTCCTTACTGCCTCAGGTGTCAGTGGATTTTTGAGAGGAGAACCTTGACTTCTGCCTTACCAAGCAGTAGCAAGGTGGCACCCTCCCCTTCCCTTGTCTGCATTTTATCAAAATAAGCTAGCTAAAACAGAAGTTTTAAATAAGATCCAGAGTCTGATATCATAGTACCAAAATGTCAACAATTCAACTGAAAATCACTTGTCATACCAAGAACCAAGAAAGTCTCAACTTAAATGAAAAAAGACAGTACAAAGATATCTACACTGAGATGATAGAGATGTTAGAATTATCTGGCATAGATTTTAAAGTAGCCATCCTAAAAATGCTTCAGCAACCAATTATGAACATGCTGAGAAGGAAATTTATAGCACTAAAATGTATACAGTAGAAGAAAGGAAAAGTCTCAAATTAATAATCTAAGCTCCCACTTCAAGAACCTAGAAAAGTAAGAGCAAATTAAATCCAAAATAAGCAGAAGGAAGGAAATAATAAAGAGCAAAAATAAAATTGAAATTTGGAAAGTTTATATCCTGATGACTCCATTTATGTAAAATCCCTGAAGTGACAAAATTATAGAAATGGAGAACAGATTAGTTGTTGCCAGGGATTAAAGACGGGGTAAAGGTTGGAGAATGGAGGTTGGGGTAGAGATGGGAGGTGAGAAGCAAATGAGGTGGCTATAAAAGCACAATAGAAGAGATTCTTGTGCTTATGGAATTATTTTGTATCTTGGCTATACTGATGTCAATATCCTAATTGTGGCATTGTATTAAAGGTGTGTAAGATGTTACATTGGGGGAAATTGGGCACACTGGATCTCTTTGTATTGTTTTTTTTACTACTGCATGCCAATCTACAATTATTTAAATTTAAAAGTTTAAATTAAAAAAATTTCTGAATGTGATAATATAGCTAACATTTATTACTATGTGCTAGTGACTGTTCAAAGCACTTCACATGTTTTAGCTCATTTGATCCTCACAACACCCCCCTGTATGAGGATAGGTATTACTATGGTCCTTATTTTAAGGAAACAAAGGTATAGAGAGGTTAAGTGAGATGCCCAAGGTCATATAACTAGTAAGATCCCAAACTGGGATTGAGGCTCAGGTTATCTACCTCTAGAATCTGTGCACTAGACAATTGTAAAGTGCAATCTAGTATTACTAAAAGTGAAGAATTCATTGTCAAAAGAATATGAAGTAAAGGAATAACTTTTAGTTGGGTTGGAGTTGCCTGGGGAGGAATCAACCATTTATTGAGCCTTTCTTTCCATTCATTAAATACTTGGTACAGAACTTCCTCACCTCCTCACTTCCTCACTTCCTCGACTTATGATTGGGTTACATCCTGATTAAACCCATGATAAGTTGAAGTCAAAAATAGATTTAATACACCTAACCTACCAATCATCATAGCTTAGCCTGGCCTACTTTAAATGTGCTCAGAACACTTACCTTAGCCTATAGTTGGACAAAATCATCTAACACAAAGCCTATTTTATAACAAAGGGTTGAATATCTCATGTAATTTATTAAATACTGTCTTCAAAATGAAACACAGAATAGTTACAAGTGTATTAGTTGTTTATCCTCGTGATCATGCGGCTGACTGGGTGCTATGGCTCACTGCTGCTGCCCAGCATCGGAAAAGAGCATCGTACTGCATATGGCTAGCCCAAGAAAAAAATAAAAATTCAAAGTATGGTTTCTACTGAGTGCATATTGCTTTTGCACTATTGTAAAGTTGAAAAATCATAATTTTCATTGAACCATCATAATTTGGGGACCATCTGTTCTTGCTTTCAATAAGGTTGACAGATAGGTTTCATGTCACAGACCAATTCTGATTGACAATTGATGCCTAGAAAATTATGTTAACACAGATTCTGATGCCACATCACAGCTGGATAAGAAAGAGTTCTGTGGTTAATTATATGTATCTGCCATTTACAAGGTGGAAGGAAGGGGTGGCGTGAAGGATGAATGATATGTATTTGCATCTGTCACTATTTTTGGATTTGAGCTAAGTGTTTTACATGTATTATGTAATGTAATCCATACGAAACACTGCAGGTTGAGTATTATTCATTTTATAGGTGAGAAAACAAGTTCAGAGAGTTTAGTAACCTTGTTCAAACTCACACAGCAAGTGAATGGCAGAGCCAGCACTGAAATCAAGTTCTCCATCCCCAGGAATCATGCTCTTTTCACCACACCTACTGAAGGAGGGAAGTTTTATTGAGCTCTTGAAAGAGATGACAAACATGGATTGGCAGAGATTAAAAAAAACCAAAAAATGCGTTTGTACTTGAGCACAGGACTAGACATCAGCCAGTCACAGAAAAGACAGGAAGCAGAGTGGCCTGACTAGAATAAAGAAGCATATTGGGCAGTAATGATAGAGGATGAAAGGAGACACCATGTCCAGTTAACTGAAAGCTTTGAAACAAAAAGCTTTTAAAAGCTAACAGATTTATTCTTCCAAGTTTATTTTTCTAAGAGTGTCTACTGCAGTAGAAGATGAGGTGGTGACAAGACTTTTGTTTTTCTTTCCCTGTCTTCTTCAGTGGGTTGTGTCATTTTTGTTAACCTACCCTCTTAAGAGGATTGGGGTTCCCCCTCTATCCATAATCTTCTAATTGTTTTTCATTATAAAAGATAAACATGTATATTGCAAAAATCTCAAATAATAAGAAAGTGTATGAATTATAAAATAGTGACCTCAACCTTTAATCCCATTCCCCAAAGGTAACTTCTGTTAATAGTTTAGCATCTATCCTCTTAGATCTTTTGTTTATTATGTAACGTTTAAAATATATATTTATATGTTATATATGTGGATATGCATGCAAAATACTATGTTTTACATGTATTTAATCCTGAAGACATAAATTCAGTTTAATCTTTCTTCATAAAGATAAGAGTCAAAAGCCAAAAAGTTTAAGCTGGAACCCATGTTGTTTTGATTTTTTCCTTTGTGAAAAACTGCATTCCTCACAGGGATGTTAACATTTCCTGAAGAGAGCTATCAAAGCTTCTAATGAAAGGGCCTTTAAAAAGGCAGAGTCTTGTTCTGATCACTTTGTCATTGTTAACCCCACATCAACAAAGTCAGAAGATTCTAGGGCAAGGACTTAAGCTTATGTACTTGTGAAGAAAGAAAGAATTGTAGTCTTACGCCTGTAGGGGGTCTCTGAATCAACACCAAGGACCTACTTTATCTCATCAATTTCAGTTGAATAACAGAAGAATTATCAAAGGGGCCTAACCTAACTTTTTTTGTTGGAACCCCTCAGGAGATTGCCAAATTGGTGCCATTGCTGGTTTGATGACAGTCCTCCTCACTCTGGTTTTCTTTTCCATCTGAACCCCCTACAGCTATCAATGGGCATGTTAGGTTTTGGCTTCATTGTCACTTACCTTCCGGAGGCTGTAATCAGTGCTTACCTGGCTGCCACGGCGCTACACATTATGCTGTCTCAGTTGACTTGCATCTTCGGGATTATGATTAGTTTCAATTCTGGTCCCGTCTCCTTTGTCTATGTGAGTAATTTCTACCCTCACCCAGAGTTACAATTGCCCCCTCCCCTTACCTCCAAGAAGAAGTGGACTCCAGTGGAGAGACTTCTGCATAGGCAGCTGGGTCAGTCAAGAGGGTCCTAGAAATAATTTCATCTCGTCTAAATGTATAGTCTTGGTTAATTGCAGGTGCCAGTTGTTCCATGTTCTCAGTTACATTAGCCACTTCACCCAGCCTTTTAAACTAACATGATTTACATTAAAATTTTGTCTTTAAGATACTGTATCTATCATAATTCTTCCTATTACATGCCTCATAACAGACATGTATCCTAAAACATCTAAATAATATAAAATGCAGAGTAGTCCCTGAATGCAAGAATGGTGTAGGAGCCAAGCTAAACATACATGGTCGGGGAAAATTGATAAACAGTAAGCTAATAAACAGAACTCCTGGGTCCTTTCCATTACACTGAAACATACAACGTGTATTATCTTCTTATTGGACATTATTGTCTTTCAAAATATCTTTTTCAACTTAAAGAAAAATCTATATACACCTCACTATTGCTCTCATGTTCTAGTACTGCTCCTAAAGACCTCTGTGCCTAGGAGCACTGCCTTGGGGCTTACTTCCTTTTGAACTAATTTAGAGTGTCATTTTCTAGATTTAGGCAATTATTACGTCCCTTTCTAAGTCTCTGTAATTTTGTTTTCTTTCAGAACATTATTAACTACTGCATAGGTCTCCCAAAAGCTAATTCCACCAGCATCCTACTATTTCTAACTGCTGTTGTTGCTCTGAGAATCAACCGATGTATCAGAATTTCTGTCAATCAGTACCCCATCGAGTTTCCTATGGAAGTTTTTCTGGTAGGTGTTTTGATGTTACAAAGTCATGGTTCAAATCATTTTAAATACCCACCTTTTAAAATGAATGAATGAATGAATGAATGAATGAATGAATAAATAAATAAATAAATAAATAAATAAATAAATAAATAAAAAATGGGATGTAACCTAAGACGGGAAAGTTTCATGGGAGAATTGTAGAAATAATAGTATTTTTAAAATACATATTGAATTGTGACAAAGCTGAATACAATGCATATAGTTTCACATGCTAGCTTTTATTTGCAAAACATACTTATTTTTCAAAGTGCTTTTATCTATTGCTTCTTTTTCATGCTATTCAAAAAATAGGTGTTTTTTCCCCTCATAAAAGCAATACAGGCTCATTCTAGCAATTCTGGGAAACATAAGGAAGAACAAAAAGGAGGAAAAGAAATTCCTATAGCTGCACCATCCAAAGTCAACTATGGTTGATATTTTTGTATTTTCAGTTATTTGCACTTTGCTTCTTTCAAACAAGCATATGACAGGCCTATGCTCAGTGTTGGTGAATTTCTGTGTTTTTCCATGTAGAAGTTTCATTTCTATTTTAATATAGCTGCAACCATACTGTTATTCAGTCTCCTTTCATCCTGACTGTGCTACAGTAAAGAAATTGAGGGACGAGATGTTAAACAAATTACCTAATCCACGTCACTAAGGGGCAGAGCTGGGTTTGAGGCAGGGTGGGGAAGGTGCGTGCTTATGTATATGTCCTAAGTTTTCTTTTGACATATTTTTCTTTAGATCAGTGGAAATGTTTAACTAAATAAGTATGATTGTTTTTTCCTTTTTGAGAATATTTTTTAAATGCTGTCTAATGATAACATTTCTTGTTTCTTTTAAGAAATCTGATAAAAATATATCTTTTGTAGTTATAGTTAACAGTTTTACAATAATATAGACATTTTCATAAACAAAGCTCAGGTTTTTAAAGTCAGCATTTCTCTTATCAGGATCACTGAATCTTTGCGTGTCCATGAGAATTATTTTCCCTTTCAGAAGTGTTCTGTGGCAGAGATACTTAAAGCTCACCATGTGCTCCCCTGTTATTTCCCAGCTGGCCTTATAGTTAGGCAGGACCATGTGAATTGGTGGCCAAAGCATAGGAGAACAGATTTGAGTTCTTTCTTCCCCTGCTGTAATAATTACAGGGGCTGTGTGTTGAGATGACAGAGTCTCTAGGTAGAATTAGCCTGCATCCCCAAGGCACTGTTTGCAAAAAAGCTGCCCTGAAGAGACACTGACCCATAGTGGACTTTGTGTGGGGAAAAAAAAACTTTCATATGTTAGGACACTAAGATCTCATGGTTTGTATGTTGCCACAGCATAACCCATCCTATGCTGACTAATCCAGATCCATACTCCTCATGATTGAAAGGGTATGGGCATTGCTCTGAAAACTGAGAGCAAGCTCTGTCTCCTAACTATTGTCTACTTCTTGTGGAGGTGCATATCCTTTCTTCCCTGGAGTAGTTCAAAAAGCTATCAATTCATAAAGGCCAGAAGGTGAAAGGCTGCTTTTACGAAAGACTTTCCAAAACACTATACACAAATAGTGGAGCCGTAGAGCCCAGGGACAATGTGTATATGGAGTTTGGGGAGTGGAGTCAGAGGCACCCTCTTCTTGTGGACCCCAGTCCAGCTCTGGAGTCCTAGGAAGCTGAGGCTCTAGAGTCACCAGCAGGTGGCATCAGCGCACTCAGATATCAGCACGCTGTCTCTGTCCCTGTCTGTCTTTGATTTTAGCTTAATTCAGGTAAAATTAACATATAAAATTGTAAACTATTTAAAACGTACACTGTGATGATTTGATATATGTATAATTGTGAAAGGATTTCCCCCATCTGGTTAACTAACACATCCATCACCTCTTATTTACCTCTCTTTCTTTTTTTTTCCCAGTAGGAATATTTAAATTGTGCTCTCTTGGCAAATTTCAATTATATAATACAATGTTATCAACTATGATCACCATGTTTTACAGTAGATCCTCAGACTGTATTCATCTTATAGCTGGAAGTTTGCACTGTTTTACCAATTTTTCTCAATTCCCCCATCTCCCAGTCCCTGGCAACCACTTTTCTACTCTCTGTTTCTGTAAGTGTGACTGTTTTGGGGGGGGGTGTTGTTTTAAATTTTTTTAGATTCCATGTACAAGTGATACTATGCAGTATTTGTCTTTCTTTGTGTGGCTTATTTCACGTAGCACAATGCCCTCAAGGTCCAACCGTGTTGTCATAAACCAACCCTCTCTTAAGAGCTACCAGCAGCAGGGATCATAGTGATGTTCCTTTAAGCAACCTCAAAGGTAATGAAAATTAACCAAGGGTTGCTCGGAAAGGAGAGGAGTAAGAGTTCAGAGGATGCTGTGGGTTGACTTATGGCTGACTGATTGGTCTGTGAGCCACAGTTAAGACATTCCTTTGAGAATGCTATAAATAATTAAGATGCACTGGAGCAGCCATGGTACAGCCCTCGCGACTGGCCTGTAAATAGTCCACTCCCACCTGCCCTGTCAGCGTGCTGGCCCTGGCCGGCCAGCCGCAGGCAAGCTGTTCCTAGAACCAGAATCTATAAAGAGAGCTAATGATAATAATAGTAATAATGGTAATAGTAATAATAAATAATAATAATTAAGATACATCATGGAGTGAAGTTGGGGAGGAAACTGAGGTCCAGCAATGAAAGTAGATGGAGACTTAGAATTATTACAAATTAGGCATTAAACTTTCTTGTGATGTAATTTATTCTCAAGGGTTGTTGAAGCCTGAAATACATTGCTTATACCCATGTCAAGTCGAGTGATTCGGAACCCTTTCTGCGATGTAGCAGGGGTTAGAGGTGTAGTTTAGACCTGGAAAAGACCTCCATGTTTGCCCTGGCAGAGAAGAAAGTGGTAGAGGGAGAATGAGAGCTGTTATGGTGTAGGAAGCAAAAAGCTTCTCACAGCAGCCCCTGAAAGCTACTGCTAACATGTGCTTGAGGGAACTGCACACAACTACCAGTCTGTCCTTTAGTGGTAGTCTCAAACATTAAGGGAAGTTTTCAAGGCAATATCTGGGATCCAGGTAAAATAAACTGACAAATAATTCAAGTTCGACAGATACAAGAACTTTTTTACATATTGTATGTTCACAGTGTATGTGTGTGTATGTGTATTTGTATATGTGTATATTTAAGCTGTAGAGCAAACACCTAAAAAGTGTCAACAGTAGTTGTCTTTAGGTGATTCATTTTTGCTTTTTAATTTTTCATATTTCATTTATTTTCCTTTATGAGCAAGCATTGCCCTTATACTGGAAGTAAGAGTTGCTTGGCCACTTGCCACACTTTTTGTCCCTTAGCTATACAAAGATCACAACTCTTCTCTGTTCATCCAGATCTTCCTTCCATTCTGATCTGTAGGCTTCCCAGGGGTCTTCATCTGATCACAGCATCACAGGTAAATGAACTGCTGTCCTGCTCAGTGTCTGGCTCAACTCTTAGAGCACATGCTGGGAAACGACTTACATGTCAGTAGGGAGAATGGGATATAGCAACTATATAATTATTATTTTAAAACCTGGGCATTGAGTTCTCTTATCTCTGTTTAATTTGCTTTGGTGTGAGGTCTTTATAAGCTGCTAGGTTGTCTATTTTCCCTCTAGTTGAAATGGAAGAAGAGATTTCATTTTAGAAGGAAATGAAAGGCGGGAAAATAAAAGCAAGTAATTGCTTTGCTAAGACCTTTTTTTGTGTGTGCTATCAAATGCTGTTCCATCTTATTAAGGTTATACCTCAACAATCCCCTGAAAGGCTTATTTATATTGGGACAGTGTACCTAGATTTTAAAACTTTTAAAACTGAGGCCTCGGCATAGCTATTATCCGAAAACATGTTTATATTTGGTCCAGATGTTTAAAGTTGGTGAGGAAAGAAAAGTCCAGGGCATCCATTTGTTCGTATTACTATGTCAGAGAGCAAGTCTGAAGTTGCTTTTCACTCTGGTTACAATGCTAAAAAGAGCTTAGGGAACCAAAAGAGGACTTCTACCTTTCTTGCTGCACTGAGCTGGCCCTGCCTCTTTCTCCAGGCTTCAGGCATAAGGACTATCACATATTCCATTTCCTGTCCTGCTAGAGGCTATGGGCACCTCTGCTCTTGGAAGCAACACATAATATTTAGATGATCACGTGCCTTTTCTTTTTAAACCCCTACAGATCCTTGGCTTCACTGCATTTGCAAGCAAGATAAACATGGCCACAGAAAACAGCAAGATGCTCATTGATATGATTCCTTATAGGTTGGTAATTCCACTTTTCAAGACTACTTTTCCCTTTTTGTTACTTTCTCTTAGCCTCTGATGTCACAGCCTGATTGATATTGTTGACCAAAACAAATAGACTGCCGGTTATTTTTCCAGCAAAAGTGGGTTTATTTGGGATCAGCAGACAATTGCAATTTGGGGTCTGCAATCATGATGAACCACATGCAAGTCCTCCCACAGCAAGAAAAGGAGTTTTTATAGAGGGGAACAGGAAATTGGAGGAAGGGGGGATATAATAAACAAAGAGTCCATAGCTTTTCATTGGCTGAGTCCTTTGCCAGAAAAGGAGTCTTTCTTCTTCCTGTTGGGCTCTGCAAAGGTCACAGGGCGTGAGAGCTCCCCATCCTGGTCTCCTGAGTCTACTTAATTAGTTTCTGTTTATTAATTTTTTAACGATATTGTCTACTAACAGTCTCTAGCCACAGCCAAATTTGGGTCATGGGCTCAAATTCATTTTAGAACACAGAGGTTCTGAAGGACAAAGCCTAGGACAACCCCTTGTTTCTTCTTTGGTCAGCCTCTGACTCTTTTCCCATGATTGAACTGGTCTCCTTACCCAGGTAAACTGTTGGATGCACTGAATACCAGAGAGACTCATGAATTTTTTTTCATGCACATTATGGACCTTCTCCACCTCCATACCTGTTTGATTAACTTCTGTCTGATGGGGCAAGAGATCTCTGTTTTCCTAGCCTCTCTCCTGGGGTTCAATGATCAAGAGATGAGCATTCCTTCTGTTTTCAACTACTTAGACTGAATTGGTATCCTTGAGCAACATTATTTTCTTACTCCAAGTAAAAAGCTTTCTTCAAGTAGTCTGGCATATGGAGTTCTAAAGGACTTGTAATTAATTTGTATTATGATTCCTACCAGTGACTATGTGGCATCACTGTTGCTTCTGTTAGGGAATTATAATTTCTTTAACCTTGACCGGATGAATCATGTTAGCTAAGACAGGCAATATACTGAAGTTTCTTGATTCATGAGCATGCTTTTGAAGAGCATTGTTCATTTTCTCACACTGTTCAATAGAAAATACTGCGAAGAGTCAATGGTATTGGATAGCCCTCACAAAACAGAGGCTGCTTTGATGCAACCAGATTGAATTAATCTCATATCCTACCAGTTCTCAGTGAAATCTGATGATGGCAAAATACACTTGAAATTCTGTTCAATTTTTTTGAAAGTGTAAGCAGACAACCTAGGTACCAGGGAATAGAATGGTAAATAAGACTTGGTCTCTGTCCACAGGAAAAAATAACAAGAGCAACAATGGGATTGATGCTTTACATAATTATTTTATTTCATTTGTTTCTCGCAGTTAATACTATAAGGTAGATATTAACTTCTTCTTATGACCGAGGACAGTAAGGCTTACCAAGCTTAAATTACTTATCCAAGGTCATTCAGCTGGTCAGTTGCAGAGCTACTATTTGAACCCATTTCTATTTAATTCCAAAATCTATGATTATAACTCCACTGTTATATTTACTCAATATGCTTCTGTTATCAAGGCTTAAAAACCACACAGTCAGCCTTTGCTTGTACTTTATCACAAGATTCAAGGGTATAGATAGAGAAATAAACATTTCAAAAATATAATTAGGTATTGCATTGCACTTTTTTTATTATGTGTTTATCCATGGTTGCTAGGGATTAGAAAAATTGAACAATTTAGGTCAGTCCCTTCCACACCCATATCCCCTTTTAACCTAAACTGATAACAAAGAATTGAATGTTACAGAGAACAGCGGGAAGGAAAACAGAAGTTTGTGTTGTTACCATATTAAATGTTTAAGGTTTACTAACATAGATTTGGGCAATAAATTCAAATTCATAATAATGATGAGAAATGGGAATGTGTGTGGAACTATATCAAACTAAAAAACTTTCACACAGCAAAGGAAACTATCAACAAAATGAAAAAAATAGTCTACTAAATGGGAAAATATTTGCAAATGATATGACCAATAAGGGGTTAATATCCAAAATATATACACAGTTCATACAACTCAATATATTAAAAAAAAGCAAACAAACACAACCCAATTAAAAAATGGGCAAAAGACCTGAATAGACATCTTTCCAAAGAAGATACACAGATATCCAAGAGGTATATGAAAAGATGCTCAATACAGCTAATCATCAGAGAAATGCACATCAAAACAATGAGATATGGCCTCACACCTGTCAGAATGGCTATTATAAAAAAGACCACAAATAACAAATGTTGGCAAGGATGTAGAAAAAAGGGAAACCTAGTACACTGTTGGTGGGAATGTGAATTGGTGCAGATACTGTGGAAAACAGTATGTAGGTTCCTCAAAAACCTAAATGTAGAACTACCATGTGATCCAGCAATTCCACTCCTGGGAATATATCTGAAGAAAATGAAAACACTAATTTGAAAAGATACATGCACCCCAATGTAGCAGCATTATTTGCAATAGCCAAGACAAAAAAGCAACCTAAGTGTTCATCAACAGATGAGTGGATAAAGAAGATATGGTATATAAACACAATGGAATATTACTCAGCTATAAAAAATGAAATCTTGCTATTTGCAACAACATGAATGGATCTAGAGGATGCTATGCTTAGTGAAATAAGTTAGACAGAGAATGACAGATACTCTACGTTATCACCTATATTTGAAATCTAAAAATAAAACAAACAAATGAATATAACACAACAGAAATAGACTCTGAGAGAGAACAAACTAATGGTTACCAGTGAGGAGAGGGAAGTGAAGGGCAAAGTAGGGGTATGGTATTAAGAGATACAAACTACTATGCATAAAACAGATAAGCAACAAAGATATATTGTACAGCACAGGGAAATTTAGCAATTATTTTGTTATAACTTTAAAAGGAGTATGATGTGTAAAAAAATATTGAATCACTATATTGTACACCTGATCTAACACTGTAAATCAACTATACTTCAATTTAAAAAAGAGAGAATAGGTACGGATATACCAATAATAGCCAAAATAAACTTTAAATTTAAAAAGAGACAAAGAAGGCTACTATATATTGTAAAATGTCCAACGCAGCAAGAAGATGTAACAGTTATAAACATTTACACACCTGATGATAGACCATCAAAATATATGAAGCAAAACTTACAGAATTGAAGGGAGAAGTAGACAGTTCTATTAGTTGGCAGCTTCAGTACTCCACTCTCAGTAATGAACAGAACAACCGTCCAAAAGATAAGTAAGGAAATATAGGACTTAACTAACATGATAGACCAGCTAGATCTAATAGACATATATAGAATACTCTACTCAACTACAGCACACACATTCGTCTCAAGTACACATGGAATATTTTCCAGGATGGACCACATGTTAGGGCACAGATCAAGTTTTCAATAGATTTAAAAAGACAGGTATCATACAAAATATCTTCTCTGACCACAATGGGATGAAGTTATAAATTAACAGAAATAAAAATTCACAAATCTATGGAAATCAACACACTCTTACTAAATGACCAATGGATAAAAGAAGAAATGACAAGAGAAATAAGGAAATACAAAGAGATGAATGAAAACAAAACCAAAGCATGCCAAAATCTATGGGACCCAGCAAAAGTCGTGCTAAGGGGTAAATTTATCGCCATAAACATTTACATTAAAAAACAAGAAAGATCTCAAATCAACAACCTAACTTTACAACTCTAAGGAACTAGAAAAAGAACAAACTTAACCTGAAGGAAATAAAGATTTAGAGCAGAGATAAATAAAGTAGAAAATAAAAAAACAACAGAGAAAATCAATGACAATAAAAGTTGGTTCATTGAAAAGATCAACAAAACTGACCTTTAAGTAGATGGATTGAGACAAAAAGAGAGATGACCAACTCAGAAATGAAAGTGAGGATATTACTACCAATTCTACAGAAGTAAGAAGGATTATAAGAGAAATAAAAAGGATTATACTATAAGAAACCTCCTCCTCCTCCTCCTATAAGCAACCATATGCAACAAATTTGATAACCTAGATGAAATGGAAAAGTTCCTAGAAACTCAAACCCTATTAAGACTAAATCATAAAGAAACAGAAAATCTAAATAAACCTAAAATTAGTAAGGAGATTGAATCGATAATCAAATATCTCCTGACAAAGAAAAGTCCTCAGGTGATGGCTTCACAGGTGAATTCTACCAAGCATTTGAAGGACTAATACCAATTCTTCTTAAACTTTTCCCAAAAATTGAAGAAGAGGAAACACCTCCCAACTTATTCTATGAGGCCAGCATTACCGTGATACTAAAGCAAGGCAAAAATACTACAACAAAAGAAAACTCACAAACACTGACACAGAAATCCTCAAAAATAACCAGGAAACCAAATTAAGCAGCATATTAGAAGTATTTTACACCGTAAATAAGTGGGTTTTATTCCTGGAATGCAAAAATAGATCAATGCAATACACCACATTAACAGAATGAATGGAAAAACAATCATTTCAACTGATGCATAAAAACCATGTGACAAAATTCAACACCCTTTCATGACAAAAATGCTCAAGAAACTAGGAATATAAGGAAACTGCCTCGACAAATGAAACTCCTATATGAAAAATCCACAGCAAACATATTCAATAGTGAAAGCCTGAAAGACTTTTCCTCTAAGGTCAGGAACAAAGCAAGGATGCCCACTTTCACCACTTATATTTAACATAGTGCTGGAAATTCTGGCCAGAGCAATTAAGCATAAATAAAAAATAAAAGGCATCCAAACAGGAAAGGAAGATGTAAAATTATTCCTGTTTGCAGATGATTATTTCGTATGTAGAAAACCCTAAAGATTACACACACACAGATACACACACACACAAACTGTTGGAATTAAATTCAGAAAGTAGCAGGATACAATGTCAACACACAAGTCAGTTGCTTTTCTATACATTAACAGTGAACAATCTGAAAAAGAAATTATGAAAAAAATTCCATTCACAATAGCATCAAAAGGAATTAAATACTTAATAATTAACCAAGGAGGCGAAAGACTTGTACGACGAAAGCTACAAAACACTGATGAAAGAAGGAAATAAATGGAAATACTTTCCATGTTCATAGACTGGAAAACGTAATATTGTTAAGATGTTAATACTACCCAAAGAAGTCTATGGATTCAGTTCAATCCCTGTCAAATTCCCAATGATTTTTTTTTGCAGAAATATTAAAACTCATCCTAAAATTCATATGGAATTTCAAGGAACTCTGAATAGCCAAAGCAATCTTGCAAAAGAATGAAGTTAGAGGACTCATACTTACTAATTTCAAAACTTACTACAAATCCACAGTAATCAAAACAGTGTGGTATAGGCATAAAGACAGACATAGACCAATAGAATGGAATGAAGATCCAGAAATGAATCCTTGCATACATAGTCAAATGACAAGGATGCCAAGACCATTCAATGAGAAGAAGACAATCTTTTCAACAGATGGTGCTAGGAAAACTGGGTATCCACATGCAAAAGAATGAAGTTGGACTCTTATCTAACACCATATACAAAAATTAACTCAAAATGGATCAAAACCTAAATGTAAGACCTAAAACTATAAAACTCTTAGGAGAAAACATAGGACAAGAACTTCATGGCATTGGATTTGGCAATAATTTCTTGGCTATGACTTCAAAGGAACAGGCAAAAAAATAGACAAATTGGACTTCATGAAAATTAAAATCTTTTGTGCATCAAAAGACACTATCAACAGAGAAAAAAGACAACTCACAGAATAGGAGAAAATATTTGCAAATCACCTATGATAAGGGATCAGTATCTAAAATATATAGAGATTTCCCAAAATGCAGCAACAAAAAACAAACAACCTGACTCAAAAAGTGAGGAAAGGACGATATAGGAGGATGATATAGGAGTGGCCAAGAAGCACATAAGATGCTCGACATCACTAATCATTTGGGGAATGCAATTCAAAACTAGGAGATACCACCTCACATCCATTAGAATGGCTACTGTTTTTTTTTTTAAAGACAGAAAATAGCAAGTGTTGGTTAGGATGTGGAGAAAATGGAACTTTGGGCACTGTTAGTGGAAATGTAAAATGTACAGCCACTGTGGAAAGTAGTACATTGGTTCCTCAAAAAATTAAAAAGAGAACTACCATATGACCCAGAAATTCTACTTCTGGATATAATACCCCCCACCAAATTAACAGCAGCATCTTGAAGAGACATTTGTGCACCCATGTTCATAGCAACGTTATTCGCAATAGCTAAAACCTGGAAGAAACTGTAAGTGTCCATCGATGGATGAATGGATAAGTAAAATGTGATCTATACATACACTAAAATATTATTCAGCCTTAAAAAGGAAGGAAAATCTGACATATACTACAGTACAGATGAAGCTTGAGAATATTTTGTTAAGTGAAATAAGCCAATCACAAAAAGACAAATACAATATGATTCCACTTATTGAGGTATTTAAGTAGTCAAAATCATCAAGGCACAAAGTGGAATGGTTGTTGTCAGGGCTGGGTGAAGGGGGAAATGGAGAGTTATTGATTAATGGGTATAGAGTTTCAGCTTTATAAGATGAAAGAGTTATGGAGTAGATGGTTTTGATGGTTGAACATTATGAATATATTTAATACCACTGAACTGTACAGTATGGGATGGGTAAGATGGTAAATTTCATTTCATGTATATTTCACCACAGAAAAATTGGGGGAAAAAAGATGTGGATAGAATCAGTTATAATTTGTATAAAGGACAAGGACTGAAATTATATACCCTGAGAGATTTGAGTGTGACTAGAAGGGATATATTGAGCTTTTTAGCTCTAAACCATCTTAGATATCTGCCTATTGCTTACCCCCTGTTGTGGTCTTGAACACTGTAAATAAACCATTTTTCCTCAGCTTTTATTGTTTTGCCTGTTCTATTTGCTGCCATTGGCACATGGCAGAAACCTTAAACTAGAAGATAGCAGAGCATTCTCTCTTAATGGCTTCTGTAACTTGCCTTGGTTTGCTGGCAGTTTTGGCAAGCTACTGCCTCAGTGACTGCTCTTATCTCTTATTTTTATTAAAAAAAAAAAAGTCAGGCCTGACCCACATATGATAAGGATGGAGCAGGGGAGGTGCCAATAAATGATTCCTGTGCTCTAGGAATAATTCTACCATTTTATTCCAGCTTCCTGTTTCCTGAAACACCAGATTTGAGCATGCTTACTGCAGTTATATTAGAATCTTTCTCCTTAGCCGTGGTGAGCTCATCTCTGCTCGTATTTCTGGGCAGGAAGATTGCCATCTTCCATAACTACGACGTCAATTCCAACCAGGTGAGAGGACAGGCCTGTCTATTACTTCCTCTGACCTTTAAGTCTTTGTTCTCTAACCTGAGCCTCCTGCTAACATGAAGACTGGATTCTTCTCTAACCAGAGAGTCCCTGGGACCAAAATTTGAACTATAATTACCAAAGGGTTTTTGAGAAGTGTGGCATACTTAGCTTTGAAGCCACCTGAGTTAATGTGAGTATTGTTACTCTAGAACAGACATGGTATAGGGAGGCAGGGAGATAACCTATGGCATCATGTTAAGCTAGCAGAACTCCTTTTACCTTCCTTTCCAGCAAGTTCTCAGAGGTCAATGCAGTGGAATACCAAAACTAAGCTAATAATATAACTAAGTTGCTATCCCAGAAATTGTCTTTGTCATTTTTTTAAATTGAAAAAGAATTTTTTTTATTGTAGTTGGTTTATAATGTGTTAGTTCGTGGTGTACAGCATAATGATTCAGTTATACATATATATGTTCCTTTTCATATTCTTTTCCATTATAGGCTATTACAAGGTATTGAATTTAGTTCCCTGTGCTATACAGTAGGGTCTTGCTGTTTACCTATTTTATAAATAGTAGTTAGTATCTGCAAATCCCAAACTCCCATTTTATCCCTCCACACCACCCCCTTCCACCGGTGGTAACCACACGTTTTCTGTCTTTGAGTGAGCCTCTGTTTTATAAATAAGTTCATTTGTCTCATTTCTTTAGATTCCACACCTAAGTGATATCATATGGTATTTTTCTTTTTCTTTCTGGCTTACTTCACTTAGTATTTGTCATTGCAAAAAAAAAATCTCCAACTACTCTGAGCTTGGCCCTTTCCCTAGAAATCAAAAAGGATATGTGAAAGCAAGAAGTGTCCTGCTTTGACTTTAGGATACTATAGAAGGAAGTGAGAAAAATAATACTATGTTTCCTTCTGTTATTCTAAGTCTTAGCGATCAGGTAAGGGAGAATAATAAGGCAAAAGTCTCATTTTCTCACCTGGAAAAAGTGCTTTCCTTATGATCGCTAGCTAAAATGGAAAAATGAGATTTGCCATCTTTCAGTTGTTTCTAATATTTCAGTATTACTTGAAGTGATATAAACAACCCTATCTTCATACACAAGAAATAATAGTATACCTTTAGTTCAAAGTCAAATCAGCCTTCTTCAACACATAAAGGGCCTAAGATGTTTGCTATTTCTTTACAGGATTTAATAGCCATTGGCCTTTGCAATGTCGTCAGTTCATTTTTCAGATCGTATGTGTTTACTGGTGCTGTTATCAGGACTGTTATCCAGGATAAATCTGGAGGAAGACAACAGGTGTGTGAAATAGAATTTGACCTCTAATATATAAAGGCATATATGTCCATTCACATGTATGTTCACAGGTGATTATATTAGTTTAACCATGTTGCTATTTTAATATTATCCTTTTGGGAAGAATTTGGATTTCATACTCACCTTAATTTTTGCTTAGATTTTTGTCTTAAAAGCTATCAATGCTGTCAATGTGGAACATGATAGTCATTTTCTATAGAAATATTATTCTATATAAGAGGCTTCTACATATTAGCTCACAAAAAGCCACTTTCCATGTAACATACCTGAAAGATAACATTTCAGGTAAACTAACCATCACCAATAAACACTTTTTTCCCCACGGGGAGATATATTCTCAGCCCTAGTTGGGAAAGCACTAATACAGCTCTCTCCTTCCTGGCAGCAGAACTAACATTACTGGCTTCCTCAAAAGGCATAACAAGAGGCTTTCGTGATAAAGGGTAAAGTCTTTGTCTAGGTGAACCTGGGGAATTTATGACCATTCTGCCTTTGTATAAGAGAAAATTATCTAGGTCAGACTCTCTTCAGTTATCCTGAATTAGAAAACTTAATAGACAGGTGTATGGAAGAGAAGAGGTGAAGGGGCAATGGTGGTAGAGAAGGCTCTAAAGGCGAGCTCTCTAACTGCAGGCATGAGATTTCTCAAGTCCAGTGATCATGAGTTTTAAAAGGACCAGATAAGTTACAACTTTACAACATGAGGGATGGGACATCTCTTGTCCCATCTCTCATTTATTTTATTTTTATTTTATCTCTCATTTATGTAGCATGAACAAATGCCAAAGAACTATCAGAATTGAAACTAGAGTCAGCTCAGGGAATGAGTCAAGGTTCAGAAGGCAGAGAAGCAGTGACAGAATTCAAAGACAAGCTTCGTCCGCAAAAGCACAGTAGGAAGGTATAGCCATGGACAAAAAGTAAAGCGTCAAAAGAACGGACACTAAATTTGAATGGGAAAGATAAAGTGTCACAGTCTATGGGCAAATATAGGGTGAAAGCCAATAAAAGTCATAAGGTTAGGCAGGGGTGAGAGCATGGGTCTAGAGTAAGACCACGTCATATTTTATGTGGACTGGGTTTGTTGTTATTGAGCTCCTACCAGACACACTGGCCTTTAAGGTGTGGCTCCTTTGCACTACTATTTGGCAAAAAGAAGGAAGACGAGTCATGTTAAAAAGAAGGATGTTCTTTGCAAGTGTGCAAAACCTTTGAAGCCAAAATGAGAAGATTTTATGATAAGAAGAGATGGAAGTGGAGTGGGGGTATAGCTCAGTGGCAGAGCATGTGCTTAACATGCTCAAGGTCCTAGGTTCAATCCCCAGTACCTGCATAAGATAAATAAATAATTTTAAAAATTAAATTTGAAAATACAAAAAAAGAAGAAATGGTAATGGCAGTTCCAGACATTAGTTCTTGCCAACTTTTGATAACACACTTTGCTTATTTAGTATACAAGCATAACAAATTTGGGGGGAAAAGACGCATGCACCTGGATAAAACTAAATCACAGTGAAAGAAAAATCAAGTGCAGAATAAATACAGTCAGTAAAAAATGCCATAATATTGCAGGAAGGAGAATGATGGAGGAAGTGGGACTTTCATGGCTCATCGAAAAAGGGTTAGGTTATGTATAAATTGATGGAGGGAAGGAAGAAGGATTTCCATTCAGCCTCAGAGTTGCCTTTAGCCTGTTGGACAGTGCCTGCCTCAGAGGCAGCCTGTGGTTCTCATTCTGTTTTCTGCTGCTGCATTGTTCTCCCATACAACACACTCCCCTATCAATGACATCTCTCTCTGTGGTGCAGTGACCCTTCACAGAGAAGCATGTCCCTAGGGATGCTGGTAAACCCTTCCCCAAGATGATGATTTATCCAGGGCAAATCGCTGGTTCAAGCAGAGAATGCCGCTGGCCCCTGGCCCGACACATTGGAGCTACCCAGTCTCCAATCTGAGTTGATGATCTGGACCAGCAAAGGTCTCTGAGTCTCATTCAGCTTTCTTCATCCCACAGCAGGGGTTGTACTCTCCACCCTTTTTCTCTGGAGATTTTTGATTCACTCTGCCTGAGAACACCCCCACTTTTTCAAAGCTCCCCAGGACTACAGGAAAGGGAAGCCACAGGGATGGCTCTGAACCTCTCAGATACGACCTGCCACCAAGGGCCACTTTTATTTATTTATTTATTTACTTACTTACTTACTTACTTATTTACTTATTTATTTACGTACTTACTTACTTACTTATAACCATAAATACAAACTGTATATAATGTATCTGTATTTCACTTTAATTTTTCCCTGTGTAGAACCCACTTGTCTTCGCTGGTTGCAGCAACACCTATTAACCTTTCTGCCATGGCCTGGGCTTGAGTTGCTGGCAGGCCCAGTTGAACTGTTCCCACTACACCTTCCAGCTTGTCCAGTTCTGACCACTGTGCTTCCCTCTTCTCTGTGATTGGGTTCATTTCCTGGTTCTCTGCTTTCCAAGGACCAGCCTTCCTGCCTTGTCCCCAGGTTCCCAAAACTGCTTAAAAATGAGTTATTATTTGGGGGGAAAAAGAACGAAAGAAAGAAATAATAAAAGAAAGAAGTGAACTGTATTATTTCTAGAGGAAGCAGCTGGGGTCGTGGGGAGAGCCTGGATTTTGAAGTCAAGCCAGTCAGGTAGATTGAAACCTGACTTAGTGGTTCCTGGATGTGTGACTCTGGGCAAGTTACTTTTGCTTTCTGAGGCTGTCATCTATAAAAATGGAGATAAGGATAACCTTTTAGTTGTGAGGATTAAACTGGATGATAATAATGCCCATCATAGTGCCTGTCACTTAAGATGTTCAAAAATTAGAGCTTCTATCCCAGGCCGCTGGTGCCCTGACTGGTGCATGGTAGGTAATCTACTGTCCACTACTTACGGAACAGTGGGTATCTGAAGGTCTGCATGTCGTTTGTGGCTGTGGTCTGCGGGAACTCGTATTGCCTTAAATTCTCAGAAAGAAGGCAGAATCAGTCTTTGCTCAAGAAAGCCTGGAAAAGTGATGGTAAGTCAGAGCAGAAAAGCAAAACATGCATGAGATGTAAAGTTACACATGCTTGCTGTCTCTAGACCCTGTCAAGGCACTGCGTCTGGGATTCTGAGAGCCATCAAGCATCCTCCTAAGGCACAATGTCACTAAGGATGGCCCTCTAATCCCAAAGCCCACTCCCCTGCATGTGCAGCCATGGGGGACACAATTATTGGCAGGCCTCCTAACCCTCTCTGAGCAGCAAGTTTTATGGGATTCAGTATCTGGTTTGTACTCATTTTAAACTAAGTTTTATATAACTTATTTTGGTATCTGTATGTCTTTGTTTCCTTAAAAATAATCAGAAGAATTTTTGAGGAAAGGAGTGGTAGGAAGGAAAAGTCCTGATATATGTTCCTACGCTAATTAAAGCAGTTTCTTTGTATAGTGCCAAACAAGAATGCCTGAAGCCAGATCCTGAAATTAGGTGCAGCATCAGGCTAGCTTGTACATTGGCTGGAGAAGTTTATGGCTCTTAGTTACCTGTTTTAAGTTCCACAGTGTATGAAATGTTTGCCATGAGAACTTCCTGAGTTTCAGGTGTAGTGATCCATTTTCTTGAATCCTTTCTACAGCTTTTCCATGCTGAGTTGCTCCTGTAGCTGTGAATCATCTAGGACGGGGAAAGAAGGAAGTAGGACGTTGATTTCATTGCTACTATTTTCAGTGTTGCATTTATATGGCAAATAGCAATGAGCAGTGAGAGGGAATCCAGTAGGGAGCTATTTTTTTCACACCTAAGAAATAAAAAATAAATTAGAGAATTATTGCTGAGTGGTCATTTAATGGTTTAGATATAAGCTTGCTTGTTCTTGCTTGTATATGCCATTGTTTTAACTTGAGATTACAGTTTCATCCTCTCCCCCCATCACAGTGGGTAATTATACTGCCTTGTATTATTTTTTTATTAACAGGGGCTTAAACAATGGAAATTTATCAATAGGGGATATAATGCGTTCAAGACTATGTCCAGAGAGCCTTGAGATTGTAAAAGGAACTATGCTTCTTAGCTTTCTACCTGTATTGGACAGTCTGATCACTGCTTACCAAGTAGTACTGAGCCCAGAGTAGCCAGGCCAGCTGGGGTAGGATCCAGAGCTGCTATATACAGCCCCGACTCATGTTTGTAACTTTTTTTGATAGCAGCGAGGCAGAGAGAAACTAAAGTCAGAAAATCGGAAGTGAATATCGTGGTATTTTTAAGATGAAGCCCCACTGAAGCCGTTAGATGCGAAGCTATCCAAGCTCCAAAAGAGCGAGGTGGAAAGGTTGGGATTTCAGGGCTGACAGTGGTGAGTCTACTAGAGCTCTCCTAAACTGTTCAAAGAGAGGTTAAAGTTAGAAGGAGATGAAGGTCAGATTTTAGGAGACTTCAGATTCGTAGCACAAAGCTATTGCAAGAAAGAATCAAATACCCAAGACAATTTGTGGCTTTTCAGGAAGACTTCATGCACTTAGTCAAGTATTTATTGAGTACCTAGTTTGTGTTTGGCACTTTAACAAGACCTAAAAAATGTTCACCAAAAAATGCACTTATGCTAGATGGTTATACTCAACACCTTTTAAGAGAAAATGACATGCTTCTCACGAAGCAGAAGGCCTCAGTTGCAGACAGGGAACAGTACATTCCTGATGGTCTCTCTCCAACCGGCTCTGTCTCCTCAGTTTGCATCTCTGGTAGGCGCAGGTGTGATGCTGCTCCTGATGGTGAAGGTGGGACGCTTCTTCTATGAGCTGCCAAATGTAAGTAGGACTGAGCAGATAACTAAGTCAATAAAGAATGGATCTCCAGATAGCATCTTGGTAGGCATCTCTGAGAAGAACTGCATTCAGCTTGTCCCCAGCGGTTGCCCCAACCTATTTCTAGTTCCTTTCTTATCACATGGAATTGGGAATCAAATAAGATAATATGTATAATATATAGAGAATGGTGTTGAACAAATAATAAGCACTCAGGAAACAATTGTTATTCTCAATAAACTTTTTTTAAATTGCTCAAGCTAAAAAGTAAACTTCAGAAGTAAGGATTCAGTTAAACATGACCAAAATAGACTTCAAATGCCAGAACGCCCATTACCAGCACAGGCTTGGAAGCTCATTGTGCATTCATGCCATCTGTTTTCCTAAACAGTCTCCAGAAGGCCTTGTTCTGCATTCATATGAACTCCGTCCCCCTACTGCTGCCACACTGCCTCTGGTTAGTTCACAACAGTAGAAGGCAAGGTATAGAAATTGAGGTTTAACTCTGTTCAGCTTGGATGCCTCTTATGTGCCATTTCTTCCTTTTGTGTGAGGCTGATGACCTTACTTTTAGAGATGCCAGGTGTATTAATTACTGGCTATAATCAATCTAAGTTACAATATAGATCAATGTCCAGTGACCATAATTTCCTTTTAAATTTCCATAACGTTCCCTTTAGCTATTTTTAGATAGTACTAAGGAGAGAGAGAGAGATTTTATTCCAGGTGCAGCAGCCTGGTTACACACTGAGGTGGCAGTCCTTGAAGCTGAAGTGGTTGTAAATATTATCCTCATTCTTTTGAACACATCTATTCCACCTGGTGAGAATCAGGTTTCAGTAGAGCAGGGCCATCTCAAGGCTGTGGCTGCCTTCTGCTCCTGTGATTCAGGGACCTTCAAAACCAGCCATGGAATATATGCATGGTGGGTGGGATTAAGCTTGTGTTTATCCCACAAGCTGTCCTCTGATTCCCAGCAGAAGCCATCTCCAGAATTTAGTTTATATAGCACCTCTGGTGCTATAACTCTTGGGAGTCTATTTTAGGAGGGCCACCCACTAATTTACTTTGAACAATGATTTTTTTTCTTTATAGCTTTATAGAAGAATCAGAATTTTTAAAAATCTCAAATAAAAAAATCTATCAGAATTCACTGAAGGGTAGTGGTAAAAGTAGGTAAGCACTCCCTTAACTATGAATATGTTGGGGATAGAACAGCCCTTGCTTTTGGCTAACCAGGTATGGCACATTATTTTCACAGCATCTAGCTAGGATGTTTCTGGGTGAGAAAATGTGAACACAATCTGATCAGTGGAATATCGGAATTTCTATAAAATGGGGCTCTGCAAGTATTAAACTATGAATGATTCTTTTCTTCTTTGAGCTACCATTTGCTTGTTGCAAAATCCTTAGGAGAGTAATTGGTGGAGCATCCTGGCTAGGATCTCAACTAGTTAGCAAGGAAATCAACATCAACTTTTAAAAAACATGATTTAATAGTATATTCAATATTGTTCCAATTTAGTATGAAAAATATATACAACATACCAAAATGTTAACAGTGGTTATCTCTCGGATGATGGAAATTATATATAAATTTAATTCTTCTTTATACATGAGCATCTTTTATCTTAATATTCAGAAAGGTAAAATGTTCATTATACATTGTTTTACAAAGATTTGTTTCCTCTTCATACTCCATACCTCAAGCCAAAAATCTTGTAAAAGCCCAAGAAGTTGGATTTCTTATCTTTCCTACTACATCTCCCTGCAAATTGCAGAAATTTTTGGAGATTCTTGATTGGAAAGAAGATGAAGATGAGGAAGAAGTTATTTCTGATGACTCCATCTTTGTTTGCCCTTCCCTCCTCTACCAACCTGTTGAGTCCAACTGGTCACTGAGTAACCTCAGAAAACCAGAGTAATCTTGGACCGACGCCATCCTGGTAATAGGATTAGTTCTAATTCCCAGGCAGAGTATATAGAGGAGAGGCTGGCTAGGAAAAGGCTGAGAAATGTTAAGCTAATGCAGGGCCTTCATGAACATAAGAAAATGTTTCTTAAAGTAGGTTAGATTCTATGTTGAGGCTCTGATTTTACATCCCTATGAGTATAGATCTTCATTTTCTTATATTTAAGAAACATTCCTTCCATTACAAAAGGAGACATGCCTACTTTTAAAACTTTGGAAAATCCATAGTAGATAAAAATATCATCCACAATCACACATAAACCACTATTAACCTTTTGGCATATGTCTCACCAATATTATTTTCTATGTATGGATAGTACTTTGTATAATTGTGATCTAACTCTACACACAATCTGGTATTCTTGTTTTAATTTAACATATAGCACAATAGTCCATACTATAACTTATTTAATCACTTTCCTATTATTGGAATATTAAGTTGTCTGGATTTTTGTTACTATACATAACACAACAAGGAGTAATTTTGTAGTCTACCCTTTTCTACATTTAGGATAGATTTCTAAAAGTAAAACAGAATGTCTGTGTGGAAGCATAGCAGCATTTCTTGATATATTGCCAAGTTATTTTCCAAAAGTACCATACTCAACAGCCATTTTTATGGGGCATCTTCAATATTTTTAATTTGCTGGTTTAATTTGATGGACTGAAAAATGGTATCTCATTGTTGAGATAATTAAAGTGCATCATGATTAGACCGGAAAAAAAGCCCACTTGAAACTATTTTAGAGTTTCTGTGAGTGGAAATTCCCTTAATTTGTCATCCCATCTGAGGATGGTTTCTAGGTAACATTGGTAACATAGATGATGTCAAGCCAAGTAGACAAAGATAAGACAAATGGCCAAAGGTGCCAGCCTCCCTGTAGGTCTTGCCTCATACACCAAAAGAGACAATACTGAAACAGAAGGAGCTAGATGGTCACAAACAGTGGCTACTCTTCCTTTCCCTTGGTAATCAGTGATCTGATTGTGGCTTGTAGTAGCTCTACCAGCCGAATCAGTCACTTGGCCTTGCCTTGTCTTGTGTGTTTGACAAATCATGGAGGCGAGCAGAGAAAAATGTGGAGAATATATATTTGATTAGACAGTGAGCTGAAGCTTGGACATGGTATTTTCATTAAACTGGTGAGGCTGACTCTGTAGTTCCTTTGTGGAGATTTGAAAGTTTTACCCCTGAAAGGAAAGTGAAGCAGGGTTTATCTTTTCCCCACAGGCTGTGCTGGCTGGTATTGTTCTGAGCAACGCCCTACCGTACCTTGAAACTGTTTACAACCTACCAAATCTGTGGAGGCAGAACCAATATGACTGTGTGAGTGTAGATACACTGGCTGAGGTCAGGGAGGACGGAGGGGAAGGCTGCACAGAGGGGAAGAGAACAGACGAAGGAGATCAGTGTGAAGGACACTAGGCACTCTTTGATGCCTAGTACTATATTTGTGCTTAAAAAAAGGAGTCAAGGTTATTGGTGCATGGAAGTACTGACTCCATTCCAATGATGCAAAGTTTAATCAAATAAAATTAATTAAGTAGCAACAGTTACATACAGATCTGGTAAAAAGGGTTTCTCATACATTGCATATTTGAATGACTTTTAATCCAGCTAATAGAAATACATCCTAGGAGAGGAGACACAAATCCTAATAAGACAAGGAAGGCGGTGTCTTGCCAGGAAGAGTGATGGAGCACCCTCCTTCTCTCTAGAGCACAAAACTAGAGCTATAAAGGGGAAATAACAAAAAATAAAAGATGGGGAATGTCATACAATGAGAGGAGAAGGAGCCAGTAAAGGGAAAGTGATGCGAAAGGGAATCATTTTTGGATCCAGGTCCCTGAGATTTAAGAAGGGATGTGGTCCAGTGCACAGGGAGAGCTTCTGAGTAGGAGGGACAGCACTTCCAAAAGAATCGGGGAGAAGGGTGAGTGCAGATGTTAACTAACAAGTGGCAGGTGGAGGGGGAAGTAAACATTTAAGGGGGTTTCAGCCTATCTTCTTTGTAAAGATGAAAGTCAAGTCATCTGCTGAAAGTGATGGAAAAGGTGGTGAGAAAGGAGCTTGGAAGGGATGTTAAAGATTCCCAGCAACTATTATAGGTCTTGAAATCGCAATCACTAATTTGGGGAGTGTTCTGGGTTGCTTTACAAATAGGATTTTTAATCTCAACAAAACCTATAAAATCAATATTACTATCCCTATTTTGCATGTGAGGAAACTGATGTTTCAAGAGAGATGAAGAAAGAAGTGACCAAGGATGCATAAAAGAATCACTAGGCACCCCTGGGACCCAATTATTTGTGATGGCATCAGTCCCTATGGCTGTAGGATTTGTTGTCTAAATCCCAGGTGTTGGGAGGGAGAGAGTAAAGGTGAGTTGAGAAATAGGACTTGGGATTTTCTCAATTCTGCTTGTTATCATGGTCTTTCTTTTCCCTTCTTCCCCTTTTCCATAAGATTGCTTGGATGGTGACATTCATATCTGCAATTTTCCTGGGACTGGACGTTGGACTACTGGTTTCAGTAGCTTTTACCTTCTTCATCATCACTGTTCAGTCACACAGGTACTTTGTCTCAAGTAATAGGAAGTTGGCCATAGCAAGGCAAGGCAACTTTGACCTAAAGGCAAATGCATTTACTTTCAGAACTAAGATTCTCCTCCTGGGTCAGATCCCCAACACCAATATTTATAGAAGCATCCATGATTATCGAGAGGTAAGAATCCACATCACCCCCACTCCTTTGCCCAAAAGATGGGGTGGACCAGGCCTGCTGCTTAGTTTTTCTACAAAATCCCTTCGTTCTTGTTTGCTGCACTACAGATATGCATTTATGGAGATGGGGAAAATGATGCAGCCAGTTAAGGATAATTTTGAAATGAACTTTACGGGGAGGGTGACCAAGTGAAAGAGGAGTGAGGAAATGGAGGGGAAAGAGGAAAGCAGGAAAAGCAGGGGGGTGAAAATGGGAGGAAGGAATTTTCTCCTTCTTGCCTCTATAAAGAAGAATATAGATTCTGTAGGAGGTTCTAAAGATTTTTTTCCCCCCTACTCCATAAAAGAGCTGAGACATTTCCTTCAAATTTCCATTTGTCTTGCAGGTTACAAACATTCCTGGGGTGAAGATCTTCCAGTGCTGCAACTCCATTACATTTGTAAACGTTTACTACCTAAAGCACAAGTTGTTAAGTGAGGTGATGGCCTTCCTCCCCTGCCTTTCTCCACCTGTTCTCCTCCCTGTCCCGGCTCTCCCCCTCTCCTCCATTCACCATCTGCAAGAGACCCCTCCTATACCTTTCAGATTGAAATGGTAAGAGTGCCTCTTACAGAAGAAGAAGTTTACGCCCTGTTTAGTCAAAGTGAAGATGGCTCACAGCAACAGAAGATTTGTCGATGTTTCTGCAACTGTGATGAACTGGAGCCACGGCCCAGGGTTAGAAACACCTCTTCTTTTCTGCATTTTTCTCCACATTTGATAAAGAAGTGCAGTCATAGTTTAAAAAAATAAAAAGGAAAAGAAAAGAAAACCCCCTTAGGGGTTTTAACTCTTAGACCCACCACAGGTAATTGGAAATCAGAGATTTCTACCCCAAAAATGGAGACACTGGTTTTTAAGGTTCAGATCTTGCCCGGAAAGTAAGTAGGAGGAGATATTCTGACTCCTGAGTCACTACTCAATGGCCAGCAGCTGATCTGAACAGAGTACAGTTTGCCTATTGAGACCATTGTACCTATTTCCTCGACTTCTATTTTAGCTACCTAGCTTTAGATTCCTGAAAATCAATGACTTAAAGATTGTTTTCTGATTCCAGCTAGGGCAGGGTCGAGGTGGCTGGGCCTCCCAGGGATCTGTCAGCATCTCCTGAAGTGTGCCAGGGACCAGGAAAATGATAGGGGTGTGGAGGGCAGATAAATACAGATGGTGATTTTACAGCATCTGAAGAGTATTTTTTGGCTGATGAGTTACAATGCTCATTCATTTCCAACTCGGATTTGGTCTCAATATTCCCTTTCCCCAGAGCAGGACTGCTCATTTCTAGCTTTGGGGCCTTTCACCCAGTCCATACCTACACCCTGGAGGGGCAACTGTACGTATAAACACGCACGCACACACAGATTTAGTCTCCCACACACAGACGCTCCCACCCCCCTCCTCACATGGGCACCTACAAACACCAAGCACCCACTCTTATTCCCATACACCCTAATGGAGCACCAGTTCTACTGATCTCCCAGAAAATACCAACTTCCCTGCCAAGATGACAGAATTAACACTATCTCTAATTTTTATTTTGTATCCACACTGAGCATTGTAGAGGGTATTTATAGGACATCAGCAAGTACATTTTAGAGTAGACTATGATCATCTAGTATTCATTGGCTCATACTATGTGCCCAGACCTATGACACTATGAGAAAGGAAAAAAGAATTTTAAGGGTCTCTGTCTTCAGGTAGTTTTTTTTTCTTTTTCTTTTTCTTTTTCTTTTAATTGTGGTATAAAACATATAACATAAAATCTATCATCTTAACTGTTTTGAAGTGTACAGTTTAGTAGTGTTAAATTTATCCACATTGTTGTGCAGTCACTACCAGCATCTATCTCAAGAACTTTTTCATCTCACAAAACTGAAACCCTGACCCATTAAACAACAACTCCCCAATTCCTCCTCCTTCCAGTCCCATTTTACTTTGTTTCTATGAATCTGGCTATTCCAGATACCTCATACAGTATTTGTCTTTTTGTGACTGGCTAATTTTACAAAGCATACTGGCTCAAGTTGCATCCAGGTTGTTCTTTAAAAAAAAAAGTTTTTTCACAGAAAAATTTGAATACATACAAAAGTATAATGAGCCTCTGTGTACCCATCACCCGCTTGAAGATTTATCAACTTATAGCCAATCTCATTTCGTCTATACTCCCAGCCACCTAAATCTCCTCAAAATCACAAGATTATTTTGAAGCAATTCATAGAGTTTTAAATCAAACTAGGGAGATAACTCTCTATTAATGTGACATTTAAAGCTATTATTTGTGTTTTTGTATGTGTTCAAAATTTTTTAAAAAAAGAAAAAAGGGACTGATGGAGGAAATACTTCAAAGTATTAGTAGGTACTGGAGACTAATTAGAATCCAGGGATAAGCGAAAGGAATAAATCAAAGATGGTTGTAAGTCTGACTCACTAGGACAATGTCATTGATGCACGTGGGGATGTTGAGAGGGGTATGCTCTAAGTGGTGATGATAAGGAAAGATGAATTAAGTTGGGAGTGACGGATATCTAAGTAAAAATGTGCGTAGCCTGTGGAGAAGTTTTCTAAGAGGGAAGTCAGTTGGTGGATAGAAACAGCCTTGTGGCGAGTACACCCAGCCCTTGCTTGAGTCTCTTCATTGTCCTCCCCTAACTGTGTTGTCCCAGGTTGTTTACACAGAACGATTTGAAAGTAAACGAGACAAGTACTCATCCTCCATTAACCTGATCCGCTGCTCACGTTTTGAGAGCATGAACACAAGCCAAAGTATGTGTGATGAACAAGTACCGTACACAACATCTTCCATATCTCAGGAAAACCCAACACCAAACTATGAGGATGTGGAGAAAGTTTGGCTTTCTGATAATTCCTCCAGACTCTTCTCAACACTCCCTGAAGCTTCCGAATCTCAGGTCAGGGATAGACCACCCATGCCTTACTCGGCCTCATCTCTTCAACCCCTCATCCACACCATCATCCTGGACTTCTCCATGGTCCATTTGGTGGATTCACAAGCTTCGGTCGTATTAAGACAGGTACGTACTAAGGAAGCTTTCACAAGAGCTCTGATTCCTTCCTACCACCACCACCCCAGCCCTGATCCCGACTGAATCCTCTTAGTCACCAATCAGCTGCTCTCTGACTCCTAGGCCACTGGAACAAGAATACAGAAGACAGTTTAAGGTCAGCCAGAATAAAAAGAAAATAAAGCAACTCTGATTTACTGAACTGGGATTGGTTCCATATGCATGGCATATTATTTCTCAAGGACTGAAAAATAGAAAATTCTTAACACCATTGAAACAGCAATCTGTGCCCCATCCCGCAACCCCAGCACATCCTGGAAGTTAGCTACAGAATTTTTCAAGGAATAGGTTCAAATACTATAGACAAAAGCTCACCAGGAATTCTCCACTCTTCAGCTGCTCAGAGTTAGGCACTGTAAAAGGCACTCAGATGTGAGGACGTTGTGATGAAATCACAAGCGTGGGGCTGCCCGATCTAGTACCTTTAGGGTCTTCCCCAGTTCCCTCTTCATTGCCTGCATCTTTGAGCGAAAAGGGCAGGGAAGATTTTTCCTTCCAAAGCTGTATTCCCTGAATCATGGCTTCTCTCCCACTTTCTGGTTTCTTAGGCAGTTTTCATTTCTCTCCTTCTTGTACAATATGGACACTTTAGGTGCACAACTAACCGTATTGGCTTTACTGTTTAATGTCTCATAAGTGCAATATCTTTTTTTCAGCCAGCTTATCTCAGTTCTCAGTCCTCTGTCTCACTCTTGTTCCTGTTGGCAATGGCTCAGCTTATGCATCCTAAACCCAATTACTTCCTAGCTCTGACTGCACCCACCTTTTTTTGAGATATGCTGACTTTCCTTCTTATTCTCAGATCCTATTCTATCAAAACATTTTATCTTACGTCTTATTCCTAAGGGAATGTGATTCTGTCTTAAGTGGGTCAAGCTCCTCTTTGGTTTAAGGCAATAGGAAGCTTCTCATGGCAGAAAGAACATTGGTTGGTGATCTGTGGATACGTGCTCTGCCCTGGCTTTATTGCTGCTCACTGTCCATCAGACGTGGTAACTTAGTAAACTGCACTGGGTCTTGGTTTTCTTATCTATAAAATGAGAAGCATGGAAGAGATTAATGTTAAGGGCTTTCCCATCCACAAGGTCCTCTTTCCACCAACCCCTCCCCCCTCATTTTCAGACTCAAATATACTTAATCATGTCTTGTCTTTGAGGCTTTTCCATCTTAGGTCATACTACTGGGCTGTGTTCTTGTCTCCCAGTCTCACACTGTAGCTGTAACTTCAGATTTCATTGAACCTACATTATTGGATGCCTACTCCCTGCCAAACTGAGTTGAGCACATTTATGTACACTGTCTCATTTAGTTCCCACAACAAGCCTGAGAGACAAGCCGTATTTTCCTGGAAGAGTCCTAGGCTCACAGCTGGTAAGTGGCCTGTCCAGTGCTGAAACTTAACATCTGACTTTATATTGCTCTTCCCCCTGCTCTTTAGTACAATTGTGCCATCCTCGCCTCCTCTTGTGTCTTCCTTTTTTGTGGAAGCACCATATGTTCTGGTCCTTGGCATGACCCAGCCACATCTGCCCTATGTTGATGACTTTCTGCTCCAGCCCCATCACTGAGGCAGTGTCCAGCACCTTAACTCTACACCCCTCAGAGATCCATGGTACACACTCATACTTTAAAAATACAGGTTTCTTCATTCCTTTTGCAGTTGTTATATACTGTCTTGTTGGTGGTAATAGTTTCACCTTTGTTTGTTTTGAGGGGAGGTAATTAGGTTTACTTATTTATTTATTTTTTTGTGGAGCTACTGGGGATTGAACTCAGGACCCTGTGCATGCTAAGCACATGCTCTACCACTGAGCTAGACTCTCCCCTCTCCTTGGTGGTAATAGTTATATTTTGTTTACTTTATAATTGAAAACTGAAACTTACTAAGAAAATTCCCAGGAGTCATTCTTATTAGAGACAACCACTCAATTTAAACTTCTTAATTCATGAGATTTCACAAATTGAAGTTGCTTCTCATTTAGAGTATACCTATAGTAGTTCTTTACCAAATGACTTAATGATTTACCATATAATCAAGAATGACTTTCTTGTGTCCTTTGGTAATGAAAGAAGTCGGCTGTCTGTTTTGCTTTTTTTTTTTTTTTTGACACTTTAACTTAGTGCTCAGGGATGGAATCTACTCAGTCTTAGAGTACTATGGTTAACATTGACTTGCTTTGAATTGAATATAAATATTTATTGCCCCAGAGCACATACACTGGCTGAGGTATACTTGAGGTCGACATCTGATGTTTATTAATCTTATATTAAATATCTAATGTTTTACTGAAGTCAAATATAACTTTGCAGAGCAGCTCTGAGTATGACCCTCACGGTTCCTGAATACCATTCCCAGCTATATTACTTGACCATCTCTGGGCCACATTTTACTGCTTCTCCTTAGTGAACTCCAGAGAGATGGGGGTCACATGCAAACACTAAGCAATAATGCCATGATATGGTTGTTCATGAGGACCGTCCAGTGTGTTCCCATCACACCTGTACCTGTCTCTCTCCTAGCAAGTCCTCTCATGAACAATTATCTCTTTATGTGAACTGATTCCCCCCTGCTTAAGACCATGGGCAACCCTCCCTCTTACTCCCCACCCCATGAGAAACCATCTAATTCTCTTCTGTATTCTTGCCACTTTAGACATTTCCTGGCATATAGCAGTTCATTCATCAATGCTTATACAGCTGAATGGGGTTGCAGAGGTACATTTACCACGGAAGAGTGAATGACCAAAGAGGTTTTAAAATTCAGCTAATTAGTGAGTGTGAGATCTCTAACGCTGATTTACTCTCTACCCACAGATGTGCAATGCTTTCCAAAATGCCAACATCTTGGTGCTCATTGCAGGATGTCACTGTGAGTATCCTTCACCCTATGAAGAGGTCTGTGTTTCCCACCCTGAGTGCTCTCCTTCCCAGGTGTCTGACCCTGTGTGTGTTCCGGGTTTGATTTGTAGCTTCTGTGGTCAGGGCATTTGAGAAGAATGATTTCTTTGACGCTAGCATCACCAAGGCCCAGCTGTTCCTCACCCTCCACGACGCTGTGCTATTTGCTTTGTCAAGGAAGTTGCCAGAGCCCTCTGAGTTAAGCATGGATGAATCTGAGACAGTGATACAAGAAACCCACTCAGAAACAGACAAGGTTGGATGATGTGAAGCACTGGGGTGGGGGGGTGAGGTGGGGGTGAGGTCGGGGAAACACTTGATCAGATAGAGATGAGCAAAGTCCAGGAAATGTTTTTGAGTGTGGCTGTGTCAGAGTTTGAGATGTTGAAAGGCACTCTTACCAGCTGTTAAATAGCAGTAGACCTGAGTCCCAAGTTCCCACACTGCTATGGTATCTGGGTGTCATTCAGGATCCTTTTCCAACTGAAGGGAGGGTTATCCAACCCAGCAGAGACCTCAAAGATCCTTTCACAGCAAGCTCAGTTAATGCCAGTTCCATACCAGTGAATAACTGTTTTAAATATTTCCCTTAGCTATCTCTTTAGAATCCACCCCTGGGGTGGATTGAATGAATAACAGAACTGATAAACTAGCAGAGGTAAAGATCTGCCAGTCTAACTTTATGGCTAGAGCAAAAGAATGGAGATAAAGCTAAAGAAGACAGCAGGAGACCAGATCACCAAGGATCTTGCATGTCCTGCCAAGGCTTCCGTTGAGGGCTTGGAAAGACAAGTAAAATCAAGAAGACAGGATGTTCGCAAATGCTGCCAAAACCACTGCTGCTTAAATGGCTGACCATAAAATCCAGCCTAGCTAGAAAAGCCAGAGAAATTGGAAGTTATCGATTGATTGAGCCTGAAGAATGGTAACTGAGGAACCAGAGGGTATAAGGAAGACAAAAAGCAAATTAGACTAGATATATTCTCTGCTTTGTCAGGAGCCCATGATTTTCTGGTACCTATTGTATTCTGAGATTCCCTGACTGTTCAAAAATTAAATAAAATTGCAAAGTTTTAACCCACCTAATTGTGTGTATTTCAGAATGGAGAATCAAGGCATAAAATGAGCAGCAGTTTTATCGAAACCCCCAAAAATAAAAGTCCAGGCTTCTCTACACTCCAGGATCCAGTAAGAGAGGAGGAATCAGAGCTAGACTTGGAGCTGGATCGCATTCTGGAGTCAGAACAAGAGCCTGGGCTAGATCTGGACCTAGACCTGGATCACGAGATGGAGCCTGAGTCAGAGCTGGAGCCTGAATCTGAGATGGATCCAGAGACTGAGCCGGAACCTGAGCTCGAATCCAGGCCAAGGGCTCAGACTTACCCTCAGCAGCAGTACTGGCCTCTGTATCAGTCTTTGGCTCCCAACTCCGCACCTCAGACTTAGCCTAGGACACAGTCAGAAGACACATCAGCATATGAATTCGTAGACATCCAAGGGCAAACCACTGAGGATCCCTTGGAGATGAACTAGGAGTAAGGGCTCAGATTCCCTTGGCAAATCCTCCCCACCCACTTAGTCTGGAGACCTCAACTAGTTACAACTAGTAGGACTTGCTTTGGGATTCTTCCACCTGCTGGCCTTCTTCTGCTCAGCACTGGGATCCCACTCCCAGATCACAATACTCAGCACGAAGAATTGTCTCTGAATTCCTTATCCAGGCTCACTTCATTTCACTTTCAGCAGGTATTGCAGTGAAGGATTTCCTTCTTCACACACCACACTTCTTTTGTTTTTTTTTTTTAGACCATCTCTCACTTACTGCTGTCATCTCTGTTCCCCCTTCTACAAAGAGATGAGGCTCAAATAAAATATATAACTCTAGTTACATTTGGACCCTTCCTGCTTCTTCTCCCTTCTTTGCATTCTGCAGGGAAATGTCAGGTGGGAGAAATTCCAGAAGTAGGTAGACATGGTGGGAAAGAGATGAGCAAGACAAAAAAAAAAACCAGATAGCATTTGTATTTTATCTGCAAGTTATCTTCACTGCATTGACACAGCGGGAAATAGGGGTAAATAGGCAGGTGAAGTTAGATCAGCCTGTGAGGCTTGTAGTACAAAGAAGTGTTAGGCTGAAAGCACTTTTGCCATCACTCCAAGGTCAGGATCTTATCCTGCCACTGTTTCAGAAGACCAATAAGCTGTACCAACCAATGAGACTTGTTAGCTCTAAAGAATTCTCCTTGGCCTTCAGATTCACAATAGCCATCTTCTTTCTTATAGGTTTTTAAGATATGGGTAATCTAGAATCTGTACTCTTGGTAGACCAAACTTAGTTAAAAATCTGTGACAGACACAAAACCCTTAGGAGTCAAAGAGGTCAGTCATTACTGGTTTGGTCCAAATCCATTTTTTAAATTTTCCTCTTATCCATTAAAAAGTATCTAGTATTAAGGTACAATCTGAAGAGAAAATAAACCCCTGGGCAAAAGTATATGGAATCCTGAACTTTATTTCCCACTTAGTAAACAAGATTCCTCTTGCCTGGGCAATCAATTTCTCTCATCTGTTAGATGAAAGAAATCCTTGTTAAAATATAAATATCTCTTATCACAGAGATAGTGTGTGCATTCAATCACTCTCCATTTACTAAGTGACTGCTACATATGTAGCACTTGGGTTGCTTCCAGTTTTGGGCTGTTACAAGTAAGGACGCTATGAAAGCAATGTAACAGTCTTTGTATGAACACTTCATTTCTCTTAGGAATAGAATGGCTGAGACATACGGTAAGTGTATAATTAACATTTAAAGAATTTTCCAAACTATTTTCAAAATGTTTGTATTATTTTGTATTCCTACCAACAGTGTATGAGAATTTAGTTCCTCCATATTTTGTCAACACTTGTTATGATCAGTCTTTTTAATTTGAAACCTAATCAGTACACAGTTATATCTCATTGTAGTTTATCTCTAGCTGCTTTTAAAGTTTGCTCTTTATTACCAGTTTGAAATGATTGGATTACGGTAGACTTTGGTGTCTCTGATCACTTATGCTTTGTTAGGTGAGATGAGAGCATCACTTAGTGTAGGGCTAATTTTTCCCCAAAACCAAAACAAATTCTTTCTGAAAACTCTATCCAATTCTCTGAATATTGGACTTAACATAATCAGAGGAGCCTCATGCTTTAATTAATTTTGTGTTATTTTATAAATCTGCAGATGGAAACTTTTTTGAACTCGTGGTATAAATTTGTTAAAGTACAGTTTTTTGTTGTAAGAATAACACTGCTCTTTAATGAAAATCTATAAAATACAGAAAAGCAGGGGGAAAAAAGAATATCCTGTACTTCCATTTCCTAGAGATAAATTCTGTTAACATTCTGGGGTATTTCTTTTACTTTACTAGAAAGCATACTAATGAAGGGATTCTTCCCTCCCAAAGTTCCAGAACTTCTTAAAAATTCAGCAAATTAGGGGGTGTTTTGATTAAATCTAAAAGAAAATACCCTCTCTTTTTAGTTTTTTAAAAAAAAATTTATTGACGTATGATCAGTTTACAATGCTGTGTTAATTTCTGATGTACAGCATAGTGATTCAGTTATACATACATATATGTTCCTTTTCATATTCTTTTTCATTATGGGCTATTACAAGGTATCGAATATAGTTTCCTATGCTATATAGTGGGATCTTGCTGTTTACCTATTTTATAAGTAGTAGTTAGTATCTGCAGATCCCAAAAATACTCCCTCTTAACATTCATGTCTTGTTCTTAAGGAGACTAAGATAAACAACCTGGAACCTGGGAACCCTGCTGGATGCCCATACCTGGCCCCAGCCCTCTAGGCAACTCCAGGCCTACTAGTTTGCTTCCAGCATCCTTTCCTCAGATTTAGTAAATTTAAGGAAATGCCAGTGAGTTGGCAGAAATTCCCTCACCCCTTTCAGTTTTTTAGGAAGCCTTGGTTCACAGCTGCCCCTCTAGGCTCAGGGTGGGTGTCCTTGGCCAAGGTGTGAGGGTAGCAGTTTCCTTCCAGATTTTTTCACTTAAGGAACACTCAAGTGGTTTCTATGTGCTGAGCCTTATGCTTGTCTGGGGTTTTACAGAATGACCCCCTACTCTGGAGGAAATCATAGGCTGGATGGAGAGATACCATATAACCCAGGGACTGTGATGCTGAGTACACTGATCCCATGTTGTTTTAAGCTGCTGCAGGGGTTTGAGGGCAAGGAGATAGGGCAGGACTCTACCTCGCACTCTGCTGGGGGCATTGGGAAAGTTTTCTCATTTTGTTTCTTTTGTGTGTGTGTGTGTTTGTTTTTATTTTTATAAGGAGAACACCAAACATACTTTATTAGCACAAAAAGATCAACAATGACAAGGCACAGCAAGCAGAAACAAAATTTAGCAGTCAAAGGGTTAGTGTTGCATACAAATATAGCTTTTCTTTTTTGTAGCCTTGTCAATAGCCATCAGGATGTAAAATAATATGCTGTTGCAGCAGGTTAGGAAAGTAAGGAGCACTCACCAGTGGTAAAGAGCACACTGACAAAGAGACACAAATGGATTTGATTACTTTAGTGCAAAACATTTAGGACAGAACTGTAAATACAGTTCAATACTTGCAGCAAACACTAGAATTTGATATTACTTCCAAAATATTCATTCACTTAGTACTGCATACTATTCTAAGTGACAAAAAGCTGCTAATTAAAGTTATTTACAGATACAATGGTTATAAGTGCCTTTTAAATATGCAATTTAGGTTTCAGATTTTCCATTAAAAATGAACTGCACTGAGATTCTATAAATTGTACTTAAGCAATTCAGCTATGAGAGTTGATAACAAGGAGATAAATTCTGCCATGCAAATTACGAATTACAGTTTACCAATAATCTCAACACCAGTAACCACTGTAGTTACTGTTATCTGACTTGCTTGGCTATCTTCTAGTCTCATTTTCTTTGTGGACCACAAACTCACCACAGGCACAGGAAAAGATCCAACTTTACAGATTAGATTGCACATGTCAACTTAAAAACATCACACACAGGACTGCATTGCAGCAGCTATTCCAAAGCTTTAGTTAAAGCACTCATTTTAAAAACTAGTACCTGCAGCCTTTAAATAAAATTCCACTGTCAACTTTATAAATCTGAAGTTTTAAGAACTACTATTTAGAAAATTCGGTTTACTTAACAGTGTAATGTGAAATGCACCATGCCCTCGTGTCAGAAAATTGCGTTTTTTTCTTCCTAAAAGGAAAGCAGTCTTTTGGGGGGGGGGGCGCTCCCAAAGCTTGATTTATAGCAACTACAAACATTGTAACTTATGAAAGTTTGTAGAAAAATTCATAGAAAAAATTAATTTCAAACATCAGTCACACTGTTGAAATACTCGTCCAATATTAATAATTCATTCTTCAGTAAGAAATAGAATTCTTCAAAGCAAGTGCCCTAGAGTGTCCTCACTCAATTACTACAGCCATTGAAAACCAAACTGTTAACTAAGTCGGCTAAGTGTTTTTGTAGGCTAAGTGTTTTTGTAGCCTTACTGAACACCTGTAGCCTGTGTTGTCTCAGTAGGCACCACGCTTGTCTAAGTAACAGCAGATCACATCTGACAGATACTAACTCTAAGCTTACTCACAGTACTCAAAAACCTTAACACTGATGCTTGCTAAAGGTGGACTTCTGATGCACACAAAAGCAAAGCTAGGTAATGCCCTTTGGGGACAGGTGAGTTTACTTTGCCTTGACTGGTTCTCATTCTAACCAACAAACTCCAACTTTTTTGTTTATAATGACATTATTTTTTAAAACCGTGTAACATTGGTGGTAAAGGGAGCCCACCAATTCCATCATATATGGCGCACCTGCAGATGACTGCATGAAAGATATATTGCAGACCAAAAGGGAATGTACTATTTAGTGATACAGTAAGCAATGGTTCAAAAAAAAACATGCAACAGCTGGGATCTTTATAATGTTCTGAAAGTCCTGTAACAGTGGAGGAGTGAATTATATAAGTGTTGTGAGCATTAAAACTAAAGTTGATTCCACTGCTCAATTCAGGCAGGCAGGGATCTGCTGTCATGATGGAAGCTCACAGAGAACTCTTGCACCCAATCCCTAAGCTAAAAAGTGCATTCAGCTTTCTCTTCAAGAACAGCTTCAGCTTCATAATGTCCATCATTCCCCATTAACAGGGATTCCCTATAATCGGGCCGAGGCAGTGTATGTAATCAATCTGTGTCTGGGCTTTCCAAGCTCCCTGACTGCTAACATGGGCATGGCTGTCTCCAGACACCTGACATTGCTTCTGCCTATGTGACTGCAAACAGGGTAGTTGTGTCCTCTTCTGAGTCACAATTAGCTTGTGAAATTGTAGAACTGTCCTGATTTATTTCAGTTATTCCAGGAGCTAACTTTGGTCCCAGTTTATATAACAAATTACCCTACACAGTGTCTTCAAATGTATGTATTTGTGTATTGGGAAGGGGATCAATCCCCTTTCCAATACCAAGCTGTCTTCTCTCTCTAAGCTTATCTTCTCATCTTCTATAGAAGCCAAGTATGAATCAAATGTATCAAAAAATGTTGAATGTGGGCTCACAGGGACTATAAACTGTTTAATCAAATGCCATTTAGGGGATAAATCTGAGTCAGCAGGAAAAGGACGTTTCTCAATTATTCAGGAAAAGGACACTTCTCATTAATTCAGAAAAGTATATTTTCCTTTGAATAGGAAAGAGGGGTTTTGACTGCTTGTTATAAGTTCTCATGGAAAACATAAGCCCACAGTATCCTGCAACCTTGGTCTCAGCAACTTCCTAGAATGCTGCCAGAAATGATGTTCACACCATATACAGAGCTTACACTGTTTTGCCTCTCCTTTGAAGTCCACTTCCAGTTCGACCAAACTTTTTTTATCAGCATCCAGTGAACTTTGTGTCTTTGTAGAACAGGAACATTTTTCTTTCCACCCCAAGGAGCATGCCAAGAGTAGGAATCTCTTCTTGCAAGTCTTGTTCCTGGGGTAACATGTAAATCACTGTCCATTAAAATGCTTATTTCAACAATCTGAGGAGTTTCAGTCACACAATTTTGCTTTCTCCTTGAAGAAATCTTGGAAGGCCTTAATCCCATTTGTAAGGCAACATTTTTCTCTCAAGGGACTAACTGGTTGCTGAGGAGCTGTCTCCTATACTGATTTTTTTCTCTTTGACAGACAAACGTCTACTGGAGTTCATGTCCACATTTTCACTACGGCTTCCTCCTTCATGGCTGAAGAGACTCTGGCACCTGTATTTGAAGCTATTCCATATTTTCCCCACTTTATCCATTGATTATAAAATCATGACCAATAGCAGGCAGGGCTTTGGAGGGGTAGGAGCCTTGAAGGAAATGTGTGGTTCTTCTGGCCACAGAAACTCATGGTGGCCACTTACACTCACTGAAACTTGCCCACTGGTGTTCATTCCTCCCCAGAACGTGGCCCTCTGTGACACCTTGATATAGCTTATAAATGCCGTGTGGGAGACAGAGCAACTGAGATGATCCCCACTCTCCCATTCCACTGTCACCCTGGGTGTCCCTTCTCTTCCTGGAAGCACTCAGCTATTAACCCTTTGCTGGGTGTCAGGCTCCATCCTAAGCACTTCACAAAAGTTAACGCATTGTTCTGCATATCAACCCTATGAGGTAGGGCTTTATCACTCCTGT